GATTTGTAAAGAATTTAAACGTTGAAGTAAGTGCAAGTTTAAAAGCGAGATGGTTCATATGTGCTATTTTCGATCACCCATCTCAAAACGGAAGGATTTCCGCCCGTAACCCCCGTATTTATTTCCAATCATTATTTGCCTGAGGATATCCGCCTATGTTTTTTATAAACAGGCTATACCTAACCTAAAACCCTAAAATCCAACCCCAAACATTACCCTAAACCCTTGAAATAATCCTAATAAATAGAATACATTTCAAGCGGGGTTACGGGCGGAACTCTTACCATCAAAACTTTGACAAGTGATATTGGATTTATGCATTCAAACATCATATTGTTTGTGCATATCAACTGATTATAATCATTTGAAGTAACAAATACTGAAATCAAATGTTACACATCTTCTGTTGTAACAGCTTACAAGTATACTACAACCGACATGCTTAGTATGTTCATTGAAATAGTAATGTATTTGGGCCAGTTTTTTTTTGTATCTAGTCAAATGTAGATTTTTTGTCAATGAAAATGATAACAGTGAATTAGGGTTGGTTTGACATGTTGATAATTCTGTAAATTTATCTCAGAAATATAGGTTGATATTCAGGTATTTATCAAGGCAGGTAAGATATTTCTATCGCAGGTTTTCATGTGAAGGAATCACATGAAACATTCTATTTCACCCAAGTCTTGAAGTAAGCACACATGTATCATTTTATTTTACCCAAGTGTGAAAGACTCACACATTTTCATTTTATTTTACCCAGTGTGAAAGACTCACACATTTTCATTTTATTTTACCCAGTGTGAAAGACTCACACATTATCATTTTATTGTACTGCAGTACTTTTCATGAAGAAATGACCCATTTGTTTTGTTGTGTTTGCAGAATATTTCTCATGTGTACCATTATTTTATTTAATGAAACACTGACCCCTATGATTTATTGTTCATTATTTTGACTCCTTTAAAGCTTTTGAATGGCAGTGCATTATGTGGAGTTGGTTCAATTCCAACCAGAGGCATACACAGAGTCAACGTTTATCTGTTTTCATGTTAATATTAACAATAGTATGTTGAAAATAGCACTAATATTGTGAAATGTGACTAATATTAGTGGGCCAAGTGGTCCCTTATCATACCTTCAGACTGAACCTTTGTTAATATCATAATTGGGTTGTCAGTACCATTACATAATAAATTTTAAAATGTGAATTTAATGTAAATGAAAATATTTGATTTCATATTTGTGTCCTTAATTGTTTCATGAAATGTTTTTTTCATTTTTTCCCAGGATGTGTCAGAACAAATGACGAGGTGGAGAAAAAGTGGCATAATACCCAGTCGAAGTCCAAGTCTGAAATTGCAGCATATAAGAAAGGGGCTGTATCTACAGGTAAGAGCTCAAATATAGATTTATGGTCCATACTTATTGATTTTGGACAGTCTGTGTGTGATGAAAAGTGATTACTTTGAAGGAGTATAAATTGAGTAATAAATGGTCATGGTGTAACCGGGTTGTGATGGGTAAGAATGACATTCAAACACAGGCTACGGGTAAGAGGTTTTATTTGCAGTTAGAGAGGTAACGACACCCTGCAATACACAAAACAATAACATAAGGCAATATCATAAAAACATGATGCATCTTTCACATACGAGTAACTTACAATTACACATTCACATTCGCATATAAATATATTTGTTAATGAGGCATAACATCATTGTCTTGATTACATAAAGAATTCATCAAGGGCGATAACTCTATTTATGGGTACTATACACGAGGTATACAAATGTACAATGAACATGGATCATTGTTATAAAGTACATTACATGTTCTCAATACAATAATTAATTATCACTTTGTGGCACCAATGATACAGATGGCAATCAGTGATACATATGTATCATAATATATTATTTACAATATATACTATTCACAACAAACTATTCAGAACTGGTGTCTGCCACAATGGTAATAATAATAATGAGAGAATGATGTATGAGTATAGATTATATAGGCAATGTCAGATCATATTATTACTTACTAGTATGTGACATTATTTAGAGCTTACCAAAGAAGTGCAAGTGATAAATGACATTGGTCAGTGTGCAAATTAGGCTGTTTACAGGGTCTTGCATTGAACAAAATATATTCACCCCAAAAAATCCCCCCTGACAAAATAAGTTGAATAGACCGTCATGAAAAAATATGAATACGTCTGATTATGTTTCAACCCATGGGTAATTATGAAATTATCTATACATTGCAGGTGGTGGGCCGTCACCTTGTCCACTTTTAACTGAAACAGCAGAAGTAGGTGTGGGACATACTTGGGAAGGACAATGTGTCCATATCAGGAATACCAGATTCAATGGACTCAACTCTACTGCAGATAAATGAGTCTACTCAGTCAAGGTTTGTCAAAACATTCAGCTTTACTGTATGTCATTAGATAATTCCTTCAATAAAATTGGTTGCATTACATTCCAAATATTGATAACAAATTTTATTTCCAAAATAAACTATTGATGAAATCCAAAATGTAAAAATCACATATCAAGAAGATTATAAAGCTCTCTTTCCAACATTTATCCCTTTACTGCCTTTAATGTTTGATATTTATAATTGAATACATGATAACAAGTAAAACTGATTATAGTTTATTTACATTTCAGTGATGCCATGTCATTTTTAGACATCAGGCTCTAACAGCAGTGGGAGGGTGCCTGGAAATGGTCACCAGTGTGGCAGATGTGGCAGATGTGGCGGTTACTCCAAGCAATCCGAGTGATGCAGCAGTTCCCACTGTCAAGGCCATTACACACAGTCCCTGCAGCAGCAAGTAGTGGAAGATGTGCTCCACCAGCAAGGAGATCAATCTTGAACCATGCCTTGAATGTGATGAACTGTATCATAAGAAGATGAAATTAGAAATTGAGGTTCTTGAACTCAAAAAAAAGAAAATGATGGAACACAAACTAAAGAAATTTATGGAAGAGTAGAAGACTACTCATGCTTCTTAAAATGTACATATTTCTTAAAAGCTGGCCAAAATACTTGTAACAATATGGTTCTTGCAAATTTTTTCTTAAAGTCAACAAATCTACTTCATTAAACATGGTTCAAGCCTAATGTAGGTATCCACATGATGCTTAAGGCACTCGATGAGTGTGGGAGAAGTACATGCGCTAGTAAGGTTAAACATATCACGGTACTGTTTCAATTTGGTTTGGGATTGGGTTATGCTTGGCTTAGCCACAATGTTGCAGATTCAAAGGCTTTCATATCTATGTTCAAACAGAGGTTATGTGATAATTTACAGGAGTCATGGTACTCCTCTGTGGAATCTTCACCTAAATGTTATCTCTACAAAGCCCACAAATATTTTTGAATGTTGAAAAGTACTTATGTTGTGATTTACCTTTACATGTAAGGAATGCTATTCCAGATTTAGATGCTCAAATTTTAAAATTGCCATAGAAACAGGAAGATACGCTAATGCTGATAGACATCTAAGGCTGTGTAGCCACAGTAAAAGAATAATGTCAATATTATTGAGGACATATATCATATTTTGCTGGAATGTGCACTATATGTTGATATTAGAAACAAATACCTTATTGACATATATAATGATATGTCTGTTGTTAATATTTTAAAAGATTCAAACACAATTACTGTATATAATGTTGGAAATTCCCTCTATCATGCAGAGCAGAGGATCAACTTAAAATATGCTCAGTAACTGAAATCTAATGATGTTTGTATTTTGGGCCTGACTCCCCTTTACCCTTTCTTGGTGAATGTGGCAGATTCCCTCTTCAACTTACTTATATGTCAAGGTCAGGTTAATATTTGTGTAGACTTTTAACTCTTCCAAGTTGTAGATTACCTCATCAATTTTATTTAATGTTAAAGTCTTTGGATGAATCTGGACATATAGCAACCACAGAATGAAAATATCTATTACATTCTTTGTGAGTTTTAAATGATGTTTATATTAAAGTTAAATTAATTTGGTACTAAATCTTTTACTGTCATGTTGATGAAAATATCCAATAATTTGCCTTACCCTAGAAGTGAGTGTTGGCAAAGTGATCCCTGTAAATCAGGTTATGTCCAGACAACTGTGGCACAATCTGTGGTTGGTCGCCGTCATCTGGGTCAATCGATTCACCATCAGGCAAGGGGATGTTTCTCAACTTGCATATGTTGTGCAAAACTGCATAACATGTGATGACCTGTTGTGAAAAGTAATTATATGTAAATAAAAGTTCTTTTCATTTAAAATTGTTATCTTGTTATTATTTTGTCAGTAGTGTTGTATGGGTCCACATACCGGTAAGATATCTTGTTTCTCATTTCTGTATATTACTTCTAATATATTTGTATATGTTTCGCTGGAAGACCATCATTCTGAACATGCTTTATCTGTTGTCATTTCTATGAGTTAATTTCTGCTGATGAACAATGTAAACCGACATCAAAATGGACCATAGTTTTAGGAAACAGTTCTTACATATAAGAAGAATCTTTATTTGGCGTCAGATGTTTTTGTTTGAATAATTTCAATCCATTTTAATGGATGATTTTAAGAAGATATAAATGGAGTGTTTAAAAACATATATATTAACACTTAAGAAACATACACATGCATGGAAGCACACACACATACAAGACATGCTTCAAATACATTTTAAGAATCATAAACATACATCAAATATAAATGTTATATAAGATTATTTTCTACTTGTGAACATGTTTATGAATTTACTTTTTTAGCAGATTATTCTCATCTTATATTGCATTAAACCTGTTAGTATTGCATATATAATTAACAGTTAAGTAATAAAGCACAGTTTAATTACAAATAACATTGGTTTTACACAGATGAATAACTCTTCCACATTTATTATTTAATACTGGCATTTACCTTGCATGTTTTTCTGGGGTTAATCTAACTTCTCCATGCAACACATGAAAGCGCTTGAGTTGCCCTATTCCCTCTCCACTATGCTGCGTGTCCTCTTATGAGCTCTGTCAAAAATCAAATGTTATGAAGATTATTTTAAAATCTGCAATAGCATATTTTGCAATTTTTAACTGGCAAGTAAATAAATAACATGACATAGATGTAGATAAATAATCGATTCAGCCCTAAAGCATTCTTTTATGTTTACTGTCATTTCATTACGTATTTGTCAGAAAGTTTTTGATGTATTCTAGGATTGTAGATTGTTCCAGGAAAGAAAAACATCAATTTTTAATTCAACCCAGTTACACTTTTATAGTCATATTTGACAGGGGGCATAACTCTAATTGACTAACCAAAAGTCATGTCGTTTGCAAGATTCGATTTACCTGTTGTATGCTGTCTGAGAGCCGGGATTTGGCTGAAGATAAGGAGTGAGGAGCCAGTCTCTACATGGATATCCACTGTCTCCAAGCAAGTGGCAGCGGGCAGGCATCAGGTGGCGAGAGAACAAAGCACAAACGCCGCTCTCGGTCAGTATGCGCGAGTCATGAGTGGACCCGGGCCATTTCGCAACAATGTCAATGATGTGTGAACTGTGGTCAAAGACAACCTGAGTATTGATGCTGTGGTACTGCTTTCTGTTCACATAAGCAGGTTCGTGCTGGGATGGTGCAATAATCTGAATGTGGGTGCCATCTATAACGCCAACCACTCCGGGAAAATTACCGATGCCATAGAAACCAAGTTGGTTTCGTCGGATTTCAGTCGGACTGGTAGGAAGCGAAACGAACTGTCGAACAATGGCAGGGGCAGACAGTGCAGTTATTGTTTGGTTAATGGCCCTACTCACTGAAGACTGTGAAACACCAATGTGGTCCGCATTACACAGCTGCATTTTGCCCGTGGCAAAGTAACGCAGCGTCAGTAGAACTTTGTCAGTAGCTGATAAAGGATGACTTCTTTGAGTGAGAGGTGAAATTTCATTGGAAATGAGACTTACTACAAATTGTATACCATCTTTTGATAATCTAAATCTTCGTGTCAACTCTGTTTCTGTGTATTTTTCTAAAATGTTGGTTCTGTCGATGATTGCATGGGCGGCCATCTTTGTTTACTTTAGAAAATTCTTAGTGCTTAAGTAACCTATGGATGATTCTTAAGTTAAGAAAAAATCTTAAGCACTAAGAAGTTTGATGCATATTGCTTAAGCAAAACTCTTAGTTTTATATAGGTTGCTATGGAAACTAAGAATTCTTTCCAGACTTAAGAATTCTTAAGGCTTAAGAAAATTCCAAGAAGTTCAGTGAATCCGGCCCCAGGGTCTCTATAATTGGCGTCACAGCTGATACATGTTCTATGGTTGATCTTCCTCTGCTCACCACCTAGTATATCACAGTTTTCCGCATGTTCGGAAAGTCTATTGTTTAAAATTCCATAGTAGAGCTTATAAGACGAACTTGCTAGTATTGTAGAAAGAAATGGGAAATTAAAGATAGATACAATGCAAAGATTTGATAATTCATAAGAAACTGTCAACGTTTCCGTGCAGTGTGACGCCATGACTGATGGAAAATCATGCAGAACGACAACGGTAATTATCACCATGTCTGGCTTCTTCTCTTACTTACAATGAAAACGATGTAAACATATAACAATACACAGATAGTCAGAATCATTCTGATTTCTTACATCTCATATTTATGTACAAACGATCCCGAATCAAGCGAAGGGTCCCCGCTAAATCCTGTGTACACTTGTCAGCGAAGCCGCCATTTCGTAATCGGTCATCGGTAGTGATGTCATACGTCAACATTGTTGTTGGGCAATTTCTTTGAGGTGAAGGTCGGTTGAACAAGAGTTAACACAATCGCCCTATCCTTCCGATTACACTTTCAGAATTATGATGTATATTATGCGTATCGTTCAGATATGTTTTTCATGAAACTAATTTCAGTATCTAAATTCAGCCTTGTTCAATATCATATCATACGTGGTTATAGGGTATATAGAGAATCTCACCCAAGTGTCTTCTGATATCAATTATATCAACACGAGTTGATAAAGTTACAAATATCCGAGGCTTGCCGAGGATATTTTTACTTTATCAACGAGTGTTGATATATTTGATATCAGAAGACACGAGGGTGAGATTCTATTTATCATCCAAAATCACTCTTCATTAATTTTCAATGAAAAATGTACATCTCTGAACATGGTACTGCCATTAGACTTGCAGTGCAGAGATGTCATAGCATTGTGATGTCATCAAGTACATGACGTCATAGCATTGTCAGGGCATTGTACAAAATCTACTGTCAAAACGATATCTCCTAGGAGATATCGTTTGATCTCACACAAGCGATATCTCCTGTGGAACACAGTTTTGGATGATAAACGTTTTTATTCTTCGAAAGATTTTGACACATTTGACTCATTTAGTGTAGTACACCATATTTACTCCTTTACACAAGTGTTAGAAGTTCAAACGTGGCCGTAACTGCAACATGTACTTCAGTTCCTATGATGTACAGTATTCAACACATTGGGACTAGTATTGCAGTTTCATATGAACAGGTTCATGAACAGCGATTTAATTCAACCTTATAAATAAAACTGATAATATTAATGAAAGTGATCTATACATTTTATGAGTGAGTGAGTGAGTTTAGTTTTACGCCGCACTCAGCAATATTCCAGCTATATGGCGGCGGTCTGTAAATAATCGAGGAACCAATTGGGAACCGATGACATGTGTCAGCCAAGTCAGCGAGCCTGACCACCCAATCCCGTTAGTCGCCTCTTACGACAAGCATGGGTAACTGAAGACCAATTCTAACCCGAGACCTTCACGGGTCATACATTTTATGAATATGCACACATATTTAAAGGAATTGTCTTGCTCATTGAATTTGTTTATGTCTTTTTATAGTCAAAACACTGAGGTGTATTGATTGGCCAGGTGCGCGTTTGTCAGATACGTTTTATGGTTCACTATCATTGTTTTCGATAATATAATCTATTCATATTTGATTAAAATTATTGTGATGACAGAATATCACACTCTTACTGTATTTATACGAATATTGTTTAAAAATATATAAACCATGCCGTATGATACTATTTTAATTTGGACGAACCTTACATCCATATTCTAATAGTTGCATCTTTCATTGTATGTCTTATGAAGAGAAATAGCTATATAAACATAAACAAAGACAATTCTTATCCTAAAATTATTTTTTTCATTTACGTTAAATTGATGCCAAACAGGCACGCGTGTTGCTGACAATAAGATACACAGTCAAACCGTCTAATTGTTGATATATCCAGGACACTATTTAAATGGTAAAATCATTAATTTTATGTTTTGTCTAAAGATTGTTAAATCCGGACACAGAAGCCGAGACCTTTTATACAATTAATGGAAATTAGGTGACATATATACTAATTAGCATACCAATGTCGTCTTTTTCTGACGTCGCAAAATATATAAAACAAGATATGACATCAACTAAACTGTTGTAATCTTTTCAGTAATATTATTACATTTGAAGATATGGCTAGTACTCAGTTAATAATGATGTAAAATTAGTCAAAATACATCTACACAAACAAGACAATATGGAAATCTAAGAACTAACTCATGTATCGGAAAGGGCCATTCAAATCGCTAATACGTGCTTCCTCATGTAATATGTCGTCATCTTTTCTTATAAATAGTGAATCTACCAAAACATATCCAGTCACATTAGGGATCTTTGTATTGGAATAGTTTGGTTCACCGTGATGAAAACATAACGATAATATAGTGTCCGTATCCACAACAAAATCTCTACAAGTGAGTTACGAGGAGCTTGTGATAAGCATAGCGGAGTTATGCCCCCTTATCTTTATACGTCGCAGACCTCTCTGTCGTCGTTTTACGTCATAGAGGAAAATCCATTTTCGACATTTATTGCAAGTCAGTTTTAAGATTGAGAATATAACGTTATACGTAAGCTCACAACCTGTTTCATATATATTCAGATATCAGGCAGTATTTTGTTCGCTCACACCTTCCGTAAAGATGCCAAATTAAAATACAATATCGGTGCACGATAAAAAGAGGAGAAATTTACTGTTTTTTAAGGCATAACAATATTTCGGACCACATTTAGCAGTGTCGATATTTCAAAGTATTTGCATTTAGATTTATACCAAATGATAGGAAATTTAATATTCTACATTTCTTTTCTATTTTATAGCCACTTGCAGGTCCAGGACCACGCCAGTGCAATTCTCGCACAACGTTTCCTTTTCAAATCTCATGCTTTTACTTTTCAAATCTCATGAAAAAATCTCGGCATCCAGGGGGTTAAGCTGAGCATATTTAATATCAGTAACCCACGTGGTCCAGCCAGAGTCGTCAAGTGATTTGAATTGTATCCTGCACCAATACTTGATAGCCCATGTTTTTCTGCAGGTAAAGTATTTAGATAACACATCAGGTGTTCTGACCTAGGCTTTCCACCCACTTGATAGCCCTTGTGGTTTTTCTGCAGGGCACGGAAAGTGTTTAGATAACACATCAGGTGTTCTGACCTAGGCTTTGCGCCCACTTGATAGCCCTTGTGGTTTTCTGCAGGGCACGGAAAGTATGTAGATAACACATCAGGTGTTTTGACTTAGGCTTTGTTCTTCAAGAGGAGTATCGCAGGGTACCGCAAATGGCTTTGTGGCGGTTGATGAGGACCATGTACATTTTTTTGTATATTGTACGATATCAAGCTTTGACTATTTTCTCTGTTTGTCTACCAGACATTAACTTGGATCTTAAATGTCAGATATGGGTACATGCTTCAACTTTTACCTTCGAGGACCAGACATTCTAACACTGTTTGCGGAGTCTGCTTGCAAAGTGCTCCTTTTCCGCCACATTTGTTTGAAAGAAGAGAACATTATTTCGCAGAATTGATTTTATTAGGAGCAAAAATGTGTTGTAAGGAACGAAATAGCAATAAGAATTTCCACACCTGACATGAACACATCAGTCGAAACGTATGGAGTTGAAAATAGACCAGAAAGTGTAAAACAATACTTTAACTTTCTTCAGGAACATATTCTATTTGACGGATAGGGCAAAATACCTATACAAATTTGATTAATGATTAACAGTAAACTAGTGATGAATTATACAGATATTAAGTACTAAATTACCCTATTTCACAACTTCACCCATATGTGTGGCGACTGAGAGGACATAACAAGCATTGCAGGCATAGATTCGCCACTTTCAATATATTTTTCTTAATAGTACTGGATTTTAGGGCTGGGACGGGTAGGAAAAAATGGAATCGAGTACCCGCATGTGCTTACCCGAATCGGAATCGAGTACCCGGAAATGTAAGGAATACAGCGCTTCTGTCAACTGTCTGAATATTCAATCACGAGTTGACAGAGATTATTATAGAAACTTGAAAGGATTGCAATAAGACATTAAAACAGATCTTAGGCTATTTAATTTACGTCTATTTAACCAACATAAAGAGTAACAGCATTACTTACATTCCTCGTTAAAACACAGAATCTTTCGTTCCCGCCGCTCATGCTTAGATAAATTACAGTCGTTAATAATAACCTTCATTAATCGGACAATACCAATGATGTAAATGTGTGTTACGTCAATTATGAAAAAGACAAGTTATTATCTGCCCTTGTTATTACAGAGTTCTCTCCCTTTCCGGGTACTCGATTCCTAGAAATAGGACTCGATTCCAGGTGTACCCGACCCGGATTCGAGTACCCGAGTACCCGTCCCAGCCCTACTGGATTTACATGGTTTATACGTTAATGCAAATTGGTTTCTGGTGTATTGTTCAGTTTCTGGAAATTTTGTTCGAACATGTGCCTCATCAAGACAACCAGACCATGAACGTTTCTCAAATTAAGAAGATTTCGGATATTATCCGTGGAGCAAATCTCCGCAGGATATTTGATGTGGTTTCTTTATCACAGATTGGCATAGACGTTTGAAGTACGGCTATATTCCTTCACCATTTTGTAGCATAGCTTGAACTGATCCTGCAAAAAAAAAAAACCAGCGTCATAGGAAATGTCCAGTCTGATAGCTTGGGAACCAGTGGTTCATTACGATATCAAATTTTCACAAAACTGTTGTTAAAATGGACGACTTATTCCTATCATATTTTAATGAATGTTTTACACATTTAACAATATTTAAGTCACTTTTCACACATAAACCAAGACTAAATGTATGGCTTCCTGGCTTGAAAAATATATCCTGACATGTTAAAGATTACGTTTTTATTTAAAACAACATGAACAACCAAACCTTTATGTTTTGGTTATTTGCCTGTAAAATGAAACAGCCAATGTACTCACGAAGGACTGTATAAACTGTGGTCTGACACGCTGCAGTTCCCTGATGGTGAGGAAGATGTCCACGTCTCTGTCCAGCCTCAGTCTACTGATGATGTTCAGGGCACTGCAGAACACGCCGCTCACTCCAGCACCGTCACTGGTTCACACAAACCATCACGTCACGTTGCATAACATATATCACAACAACAAGCAGACATTGTATCATTCCAATTAGACGTCTTTCATTTGAACATATACATTCACCTAAATTCAAAGTATTGTGCATTGGCACGTACTCACGCAGTATACCCTGCGTAAGGCATGAAGCACTTATGTTCTTGGGTAGTGACATTCGTCAATCCGTGTACGAGTAATATTCACTATGTTCCTCCATTGAATACCCACGGCCGCAGTGTGCTCTAGTCTTCAGCCAACTGAACCTGACCTTGCTTCAGCATGAAGCCAGTGCGCGCTGTTCACGGCAAAACTTTAGCTTATATTTCAATGCTCGGTAAAAGGAGGGAATGGCGTGGCACGACCCATTAGATGTTCCCATGGTCCCTAGTATGGTGATCTACCTTCAGTTGTTGGCGATGTATAGCCTGTTTTATATTGTATTGTCCAAATAGTGCTATCAGTTTTAACTTTCCACACTGGTTTAGTTGTAATTGTGATATTCTAGTTGTTTTACTGTCCTTCGTCCACAGGTTTTTATACTATACATATCTTCCATTTCAATGTCACATATGTTCTCGTCACGATATGGCTGAAATATTGCCAATGTGACGTTAAATAATAACTTACTCACTCACTCATTAGATGTTCGTGAGTTATACCTGTACTAAAACTATCCTGAGCTTTTGCCACATAACGGTCACCACTACACTACGTAGCACCTGTATGTACTCATCGGTGATGGAGAACGTATGCTGACCAGTATTTATGATGACACATCTTGTGTAACATGATTCACATACGTGCTTTTCATATTGTACAAAAGTTCATAACATATTTTAAAATGCATACTGGCAGTGGATGAGGATCTTATGGTCATCAGCGCTGATGATTCTGTCCACCTCGTTGATCAGCTCCAGGAGTGAAGAGGTGTTGGAGATCAAGCTCTGTGACCGGACGCGGAACACTGTGACTGGCTGCTTGTTATCCTGTAGAGTATTGAAACACGCACACGTGTATCTCCAATATACAGTATGTATATGTCTGACCTATCTTGTACAATTTCCGTTAATACTGAGCATTAGTCATGCTTTCTCAATTTATATGTTCTAACATTTTATGTGACCTAATCCTCACTGGGAAAACTTGACGTACAGACTGTCTGTCCTGAAATGCTTAGAAGAAAACTAATGATTTACGTTGGTATGTCATGGACAGCACATCGCTATTAAACACCACTTAGTAAGTCTCACCTACCCAATATACAATAACCAATCCAATAACAATCATAGTCTCCGGACATAATGACATATCTTCTTGCGAGAGTTGTGTAACATATGTGGCATTGCATTGTGTTATTACATGTGCCATACGATAACAGTTCACGTTAATTAATTATTTGAAAACAACAAATGAATGAACCAACCTCCTTGTCATACATAAGCGTTAACCTTGTCTCGGTATAAAATGCTCCATGAAATTCAGATTCCTCGTGTATGACACTGAATGGTGCAACTTGTAACGCATTGCTATCTTTGGGGTACATTTCATCTGTCTCCTGGATGCAAAAGAAATATTACATGTATGTTAATGATGATCCATGACGAAGGTAGTATCCAACAACTATCCCCTAGTGATAGTATATGTGTGTATGTTGATCTTGACAACGCATAGAAACACCTGGCATCATTCATTTGTGAATGTTTTGAATTCAAAAGCATTTTTACCTGAGAGTCATCCAGACAGACAACTGTGAAGCAGTCATGGTCGTACACCAGTCTCCAGAAGTCCACCACAGTGTCTGGCAGTGGAGTCTGGGTAACTATCATGGTCGATGGTCGAAGGGTGGACTTAAAAATTTGAAGGCAACTAGTTATACAACAGAACTTCCTCTTGCCCGAATCTCAATGGTTATGTTATTTTGAAGTTATGTTATTTCTATCAATCTTGATGGTTCCACATCACATGACAAAAGAAGGATGCAAATGATAAAATTTAACTGTCATTTGTGATATTGCGGGTTAACCTTACACCAAGCCAACATACCGGCAGAAACACTGCATTGATGTAGTCATTCCGACCCGGAACTGGAGTACACAGGTAGGGTCTGAATTTGTTTCCTACAACAATACACAATGTGGTGATTCATCATAGTTCATAGTAGGAATCGAGTAGCGATGATCACGTTGGGCATTATGTTAATAGAGACATAATCTCTGTAGTGTGTGGAAATACAGCACAGATGTGGGCGAAAAGCAAAACAAAAACTCTTGTATACTTATCAATTACTTGCGAATGAAGTCAGACTGATTTTATCACTGCAGGTGGAGTGTACATTTTTCAAGACGTTTATACCCGGGAGAATATGCTGGTTTCTATTTTTACTCGAGTTCTCTGGAAGCCGTGCAGTAATATCCTCTTCGAGGTCAGATGTTTGTTCTTGGAGTAACTGAAGAAAACAAGGGAACATTTATGTGTGTACTGTGCTGTTATTATACATTGCTTGTTTCACGAAAGTATATGTCATAAACAACGCAGACCCAGGTTAGAAATGATCTTCAGTAACCCATGCTTGTCGTAAGAGGCGACTACGGGATCGGGTGGTCAGGCTCGCTGACTTGGTAGACACGTGTCATCGTATCCGAACTGCGTAGATCGATGCTCATGCTGTTGATCACTGTATTGTCTGGTTAAGACTCAATTATTTACAGACCGCCGCCATATAGCTGGAATATTCCTGAATGCGGCGTAAAACTAAACACACACTCACTCACTCATAAACAACACAAGAAAAAAAATAGCCAACTACATAAAGAATTCTCTGGAAGGACATAAAAGCTATATCGGCATATGCATACCTTAAACTGTTCTTTCAGCATATTCTCTTGGTCTGATGTAAATGTGTCGTCAACACCAAAGGTTTTGTCAAACTCAGACGAAGTGTAGAGTGTTCCTCGACTATTGAGAGTCTCCAGGACCACATCATGCACAAACTCGTACTGTTTCTGAATGGATGGATGCACGTATATACATTTAAAACATAAATTGTAACTCCGCAATAAAAGACTATTTCTAAATACTGATCAAATATACAATATTTAGCAAGTTATTGCACCAACTTTCAGTCCACTTTAAATATTATCTCTTCAAACTAAATCCCACATCCAGTTAAGTATTATTATAAGGGGGACAATATTTACGTCCATATCAGAAGTTGTAAACACTGAAACGCATTCTCCCCAAACCGATTCTCTCGCTAACCGTTAGATTAAAAGAAATTAGATACTTTCAAGAATCGCGTACTCACCACTGTCTGGACCATGTTCATCCTGTTCTGTCTCATCTTGCTGACACACATGTACACGTTGACCCTGTTGTCACTCTCAGCTTCATCCATCAGGTAGTCCAGGGCAATGAACGTTCCTGTTCGGCCAACTCCGGCGCTAAACAAATGAATGTCACAGTAGGAAGAAACACTGAAGAAATGCGATAGATTCGTGTCTGTTGTTATATATACGAATCTTGTGTATACAAATCGTTTGAATCGCCTTGACGGTGCAATTAATCTCTACATTAGTAAAGTAGGGAAGATGCATAGGTCCATGGGCTGAAAGTCCATTTCTTTGAGAGCAATTTCCAGCGTTCGCCCATCTCTGCTCGTCCTGTGTGATTACCTGTGTCAGCAAAAAGGAGAATGCCCTTGTCGTGATTGCCCGTGTCCATTGACCCATCTGAGTTACATGTACATCTACATCGTACATGTATCAACCTCTACGTTACCTGCAGTGCACCACCATGGGTCCCCTGTCCATGTCTCCCTGTTTGACCAGTCTCCAGAAGTTGACGAGGGTAGGAGCAGAAGGAACACCATGGTCAGGCCAAGATGTGAAGTGGTAGTGCGTCACATACCTCTCGCTCTCCTGCAAACACCATACGTACAATTGTAACAGTCAAAGACGGTTTAGTTTTAGGTAAACATTCTACGTTGATTGATCTTGCACAGAGTAACTGACACCGGTGGTTAAAAGTGGCTTACAATACGCATTGATTTGGTAATTATACTTACCGAGTTTTTTACCAGGAACGTTGAGACTGTATAGTCAGTCCTCGCTGTCACATTTTTGTTTGTAACTGTACAACCTCCGTGGGTTTCAGATTTGCTTCCATCTGGCCAGTATTGTTCACACTTTTTCTGAGAACATATACAAATAATGTACTTTTAGGATGCAATCATTCTCATTTGAAAGTGCTATGAAGCAGAATGTATTGGTACTTTTCACAGCAATTTAATAACCCCTGAATACATCCTACCTTGTTCATCTCCATCAGCCTCGTCAGCATGACTATCTGTGTGACGTTCTCCTGCCACACCATCTGCCAGAAGTCCGTGATTGTTGTCGGTCTGGGTCCTTGGTGAAAAACCATACGTTTTACAAATCGCATATCTCATATATTTCATTTAAGTTTACCATGTAAATGACATAATATATTTACTGTATATAAAGGTACATAAATATATAATACGTACCTTGTGTTGCTATATAATGTGCTGTGTCATCATATCCCTGCGAAAAGATACACAGCTGTGTTTTGTTTTGATGCTGATATCGATAACCAGAGAACGTAACAGTACATCAATACTTTTTCCCAAACCATATAATTTATACACATGAATCTGAAGTGATACGCTTTTCTATCTATTTATCATGATTTGTTGATAGTTGAAGAAGATCCGATAAAACGTTCACACTCACCATGATATAATTGGCATTAATGTAATCCTCGCCTTCATCAGCAAGCACAACCCTCGAATCATCATCTGATTCAACACAATAAACATCATTCTAATTCAACTTAGTATGTAACACTAGTTCTGATTGGTCAGTGCTATAAATTTCCGACCGTATAATCAGCATATACGGTCGCAATTTGAAAACCGAGTCACCAAAACCTTTGAATGTATCCCTACACTATTGAGATAACGCTGTTTTGCAGGGCATTGTCATTTGCAGAAGCCATTGGTCAGTTAACTCCCCTATCAAACCAAAATGGGTGGAATTTGTGTTAAAAAAGACAAAACAGTATCATAAATTTAATTCTAAGTTCAAACAACTTACTCGCTACAGGTTGTTGACCTATCACTGTTAGATCATGAAACAAGATTTATGACGTCATTATGGAGCGTGACGTCACCTGTTGTGACTTAATTTGACAACAGAACTGATAATGGCCCGTAGTTGAGGAATCAGCGGGCCGCTCATTTCTGTAGCTAGAGTGCGGTTTCACCATAATTCCGTCCATTTTATCTATAATACTATGATCTCTTCATCATTGTCAGATTTAGTCTGTGTGCACCTAATACACGTGTGTTGTTTGAAAAGGGAATTCTTTTTCTGGCGATGGTGTAAGTTCAAGGAGTGATATGATTAACTTTTGACCAAGAGGAACTTTCACCTGGTTTAAATAATAAATTTCTTTCACGAAAAAACAGCGTAAAACGAGTTGAATTAGAATGGGAATAACTGTACTGTGTTTGACGAATTGGGGACGTATACCAGTGGTTATATAGCCGCAAATTTAGTTATATCAGCTACGCGTAAGCGGGGGCGTATACCGGTGGTTATATAGCCGCAAATTTAGTTACATCGGCGGCGCGTAATTTAACATGATATTGGCTCCGCTTACGTGTCGCCGATATAACTAAATTTGCGGCTATATAGCCAACGGTATACGTCCCCAATTCGTCAAACACAGTACAGTTATCCCCTACTTAGTAGTAATGCACAGTATAACCGGTATCTCGCAATACGCTTTTCAAACAATGCGTATTGCAATATGTTTTCTGAGAACCGGTACATTGGGTAAAGAACATATATTAACTTTATGTGATTATCTTCATGGTTTAAATTGAAATCCACACAAACTTTCATTCACATCAAACGTTTCCTTCATTATTCAATAACAAAAGAAGAGTATACTGTAATACTATAGATTGTATCAAATGAAAATAGAATCCATCACTATGCAACCTAACTGTGAGATTGCTGTCATCAGAACCATAAAATATGTTTAGGGACTTATAATTTTGAAAATAGGATAGAGAACCACATTTAGTGTCACTCACTGCCAAACACCTAAGATCCCAATGTATCGCAATACGTATCGCAATAGGGGTCCATGAATCGCAATGTATTGCAATACAATTTATTTCCCAATACACAGCCTTAATCATTAGGAATATTAGGGCCTATCTATCATTTCAATAGCATATGTCCAAAGCTCATGTAAAGTTGACTGTAACATTTAGCGTCATATTTCACCTGAAGCTTTAATATAATCGTTATGTGGAATATGTGATTTGCAAAATTGAGATCATTTGTCACAAGTGTTTATACACGTTGATATGACTATTACTTTTTATCCCTTTTCCGATTTATATATTTGTGGTATCAACCGAGCATGTGTCAATGCAGGCATTTCTACAAAACTTTAGATCTTGATATGCAATTCCGCCTTTCTCAGACCAGTAGGTTATATTAGTAACTGGTTACTTGATAGACATCAAATCGTAAAGTTCTCAACATAATTGAGTAACAAGAATCAATGCATTCTTTTATTCAATAAAGCTTACCTTCAGCTAGAACTTTAACACCGAAGAACACATATAGAATAACGTATGTGTGATCTGAGTGCTATGTAACAGCAAATGCTTTAATAAAGGAAGATAAATCAACTGTATATTCTAGTGACTTTTGGTTACGATTTCCATAATGTACTTACATGCATACAGAGCAAGAAAGCGATTCTTCGGTATATTCTCAGGTTTGATTGCGGCCTCATGCGGATGTCTGGCGCCATATGGGATTGTCTGTGGCACAAGATAATGCAAGATAATTCAGTGGATATGCACAAACATCACGAATTCACACTCGCATGAAACACTGTGCTGTACCGTTTAGTGTACGTGTATTGTCATATTTGTCTTTTTTGAAAACATACTTATTTATTTTTATTTATTTATTATAGGATATATATATAGCGGCAACACATGCAGGCAACTAGTGCTTGCTCAAGGCGCTGGTATTTTTTGTTTTTCCCCTCCATCACTGGATGTCAATCTCAACGGCACATCGTATTATCAATCTCAACTCCCTGGGGAGTATACAACTCTTGCAGCCACTAGGCGCACCGAGTTAGTGTGGCTTTCTCATCCTAACGAGGTACCCATTCACAGCTGGGTGGACTGGGACACATAGTCACAGTATTTTGTCAAAGTTCACTGCACGTTGCTGTACCCGCAACTAGGTGTTTGCACGTATTTCACATTCGAACGGATTCGTGGGTTCTTTTAAGTGCACAGAGTTGTGTACTGTACACTAGGGGTTGTGACAACACTGAAAGAGTCTGCACACAAAGTTGACTCCAAGGTCAACTTTGTGTGCGAAGTCGATGTATGGAGCTTACTTCGACACATTCCTGTGTTTCCTGAATTTGTGTGCTTAGCGTTAGTGTACGTGGACAGTGACAGTCAAATGGAGCAAGCGATCGGACGATCCATCTGCAGAAGATGTACTGTCTCTCAGCTGTACTGGTACTAAGCTGTGAAGAAGCTGGATACTGTCTCTCAGCTGTAGTGGTACTCAGCCATGTTGTTCAATAATTGATTAATTTAAACTGTTTGTATACTTATGTTTGAGAAATTCAAAATATCAAATGACCATTTTAAAATAGACAAAGAAAAGCCCTGACGAATTCTTAAGAATCACATTTAAATCCTGGCTTCCGAATACTAAAGGAAGTAACAGACAAAAATATGTTCTCTTAGCGTAAACATGTCATCCATTTTTGCATGTCAAAACAATACAAACGATATACAAACCTGAAATTCGTTTTCAAATGAGGCTTTTTTCTTTTTCTCAGATATACACTGTTTCAAGTTATCCAGCCGCATGTGAGGTGGCACCCAGTTGTAGTAGGTGGCGGCAGCATCGCTGCCCCCGTCGACTTCAGTCTCAACAGAAAACACGGCATCTTCATCTTCCTCCCCTGCAGGTTTTGGCTTCGGGGAGGATTTACTGGAGGATGACTTATCTGAAACGTGTGTGCGATTTTCTGAAAGGGATTTGATATATATGAGGTGAGATGAGGTGATATTGGGTTTAACGTCGTGCTGGAGAATATTTCGCTCATATGACGACGTGCATGTGTGTGTATGTGTATGTGCAGCTGCTTGTACTAGCCCAGACTTAAGCTGGTTTTATAGTGCTAGCCCACTGAGATACCATTCCGCAGTGAAGCATGAATATCCCACTCAGACAAATTATACTGACTCCGAGCCGACCAGTCCTTGTTGTACCCATTAATGCCGAGCGCCAGGCAGGGACCAACAAGTACCATATTTTAACGTCTTTTGGTATGACGCGCCGGGGATCGAACCCGCGACCTTCCGCTCTCCGGGCTGACGCTCTAACCACTACGCGACGGAGGCGGTTGATATATATGAAGCACACGAGCAGCCTGATCAGGAGCTAACGATTGTTGACCTTATTTTACACAACGTTTCTAACAATGTGTTAGTTACACAAATCACACGCCGTCATACAGCTCGCACAATAACGACCATACATAAAATATGCAAAGCAAGAACGTGGTTTGTTTTACCTTTTTTTGCTGCCTGGGGAATCTCGTCCAGTTGAACGGGTACTCTCACGTTATCGTCTTTCCGTTTTCTCCTATAGAAACTGATTTCATTAATCCTATTACAAACATAAGGATATGTTGTCCAAGCTAATATTCGTGTGGTGTTACAACACATGTCGAACATATGTATGAAAGAGTGAGTGAGTTTAGTTTTACGCCCACCCAGCAATATTCCAGCTATATGGCGGCGGTCTGTAAATAATCGAGTCTGGACCAGACAATCCACTGATCAACAGCATGAGCATCGATCTGCGCAACTGGGAACCGATCACATGTGTCAACCAAGTCAGCGAACCTGACCGCCCGATCCCGTAGTCGCCTCTTACGACAAGCATGGGTTACTGAAGATCAATATTCTAACCCGGATCTTCACGGGTACACAATGAAAGAATACTCAGCAGATAAACTTATTTCAAAGAATCCACTAGGGTATTTAGATTTTATAAATGATGCTGAGCAGTTACCGTTTCCAGAAAATGAGAATGACCACGACAATTGCTATCACTACGAGAGCTGCAATGACCCCTCCAACGATTCCTGCTGTGGACCCTTCTTCAGCAAGAGCTTCGAAGAACAATGAGGAAACAATGAGTCTATATTGCAAATTCATAACTAATTACAGCAGTTCTAAGAATTAGACATCTTACTAAAATACTGCAAGAAGGCAAAATAAATAATCTGGCACATAATTTCTAAATTTAAAGACATGAAACTGAATGTCACTTCGTTTTGCATACGTAGCGTTGTTTGCTTTTATATCAAAATACATTCGTACTGCTAATGAACTGTTGTAAAGTATGCCTACTTAAATAAGATAATATCATAAATAAGCAAATATCATACTGAACAAATTAAACAGTGTTTTAGGATTAACCATAGCGATTATACTGTGTGACTGTGTGGATTTCAAGAAAGTTAATATAACATTCCACCACCTTACAAGTAAGAAAGGTGAATTCCCGGAAATATACTCTTAAAATATTAAATAGGGGAACCTGAACTTTTAATTTGGATAGAAAGTATAAGCGAAAACAAACTTTGTAAAGACAGACATCTTATGAACGCAACATTATTTCTCTTTGTCACCACCCCTAAACACAACCATGGGACGCACGTGCACAACGCAGTAGTCCATACACGTGCATGGACTGTCATTCTTGAATTTGACGGTTTTCAAAATTTCGATAAATCACTGTAGGGCATTAATTTTGACAATCATCTCGCATCACACAGTTGTTAGGGTTTCTAGCCGTGTTATTTTATTTTTTATTTTATTTTTTTTTAAATTTTATTTATATTTTGCTTTGATTTTGTAAATAGTACACATGCAAATTTCACGCCATATACCAATCATCTTTCAAGAGCAATTACTGTACAAACAACTATGGTCATAAGGAAGTGAAGTGGTGATGCACTCTCAAAACATTCAATATTGTCATATCAACATTGATTTATCTCCCAATTTTTACGATCGTAAATTAAAAACGAAGTTCAACTACTTTTTTAAGAGTATATAATGTTACGCGCAGAAACATGCATGAACACGTACGTGAATGAAACATGTATCAGTCGCTCTTATTTACGTTTAGACATCTGGATATGATATTTTAATCACTATTTTTCAATTCAGGCGTTAGTGTACATGTCAGTCGTGTGATATAGCAAAACACATCGTAGAACATTCCAGCAGGTACTGCCATGTTCACTCTCATCCTCTTGGCTAACTGTTTAAATGTATATTATACATGTCCTTACAAAAGACATGGAAATCCTAAATACCTAAAACACCTTAACAAAATAGGATGATGACTGACATTAGCTATAAATTATACACGTGCCCATTGGTACAGCATGAGTGAGTTATATCATTTACTACAAAAATGTAAGCAAATTCACAGTGCATTTATGTTTCAACCGTTCAGTTTTTCTTTCAGGACCTAAGGGTAGTCGAGGCGTGTTATTTTCTCTATTAGTGAGGGGCGGTGGGGTAGCCTAATGGTTAAAGCGTTCGCTCGTCACGCCGAAGGCCAGGGTTCGATTCCCCACATGGGTACAATGTGTGAAGCCCATTTCTGGTGTCCCCCACATGTGATATTGGTGAAATATTGCTAAAAGCGGCGTAAAAACAGAACTCACTCACTCACTCTATTAGTGACGTTTCGTAATAGATATGGCATTCACTAGAGTGTTGTAGCCTGATGACAAAGTATTCGTTTTGGATGCCAAATGTCACTTTTTTGACCCTCGCAGTTTTAAAAAAAAGTTAGTGATAAAAGCGTATGGTTTACCTTCAGATAGTAAACATAATAGAATACCCATTTATGAAAACCTTAAAAGTTCAGCGTCATTACGTACGTTGTAAACATAACATGGTGTCATCATTCATCCATCCTGCTGCACATCCTCCAGGACATGTTCCATTTGTTCTGTCACAGGTGACACCATGTAGACAGTTTCCACACTGAGCGGCGCAGTTGCTACCATGGTATCCATTTGGACATGCTGCAAATGTTATGTGATGGTCTATATTAAAAGGCTATTTCTAATGAATGTTAATGGCATCACCTAATATCAAACGTGTAGGAGATACAGGAGAAATACGATCTGTTTTCAAGATATTCATGTCGTGACGAAGGAACCAAGTGGATCTAAAAATGGATTCTGAATCCTACATTTTGGCCATAAAATTGGGTTTTTTACGTCCATGGATATTCGAGTCTGGGTATAATCTCCGCTGAGCATCAGCACTCACGTTGTTCACATAACTTTGTGTTGCCATTCATCCATCCTGCTGCACATCCGGTTGGACAGGTTCCGTCTTCTTTATCACAAATGTCATCGTTCAGGCAGTTTCCACACTGAGAGGAGCAGTTGTTACCATAGGAACCACCTGGACATGCTGAAACAGAGAAATACCTTTAACATGGAATTCTGTCCATTATGTCACTGAGAGTATTATTGTTTCGGCAGTTTCCATACTGAGAGTCACAGTTAATACCATAAGAATGCTTTTGGAATTTGCTAGCACAAAGACATTACACCTTAACCCTGTCAAGCTGGCGTGAACATGGGGCTTAATATTTTACCAAGAAACATATATACAAACGTTAGGACAGTCGTTCAACACTAAGATTGTGACTCACGGAGTTGACATATGGTGTCATTTATCCATCCTGCTGCACATCCGTCAGGACATGTTCCGTTTGTCTTGTCACAGCTGACATCATCCAGACAGTTTCCACACTGAGAGGTGCAGTTGATACCATAGGAACCATCTGGACATTCTGTAAACACAAATTCACCAAATGCATTCAATACCATAACAAAATGATTACATATAGAACATTATGTCGCACTTGTATTGAGATCACATGTATGTCTTCATCAATCTTCACATGCTGCACATCCTCCATGATACCATAAGAAAAACTCCGACTTTCTGCCAACCTAAAGACAATAAACTTGAACCCTGTCAAGCTGGCGTGGCCATGGGGCCTAATATTTTTCACAAGAAAAATATGTATAAACGTCGTTCGACATTAAGATTGTGACTCACGGATTTGGCACATGTTATCATTCACCCATCCTGCTGCACATCCTCCAGGACAGGTTCCGTTTGTCTTGTCACAGCTGACATCATCCAGACAGTTTCCACACTGGGAGATGCAGTTGATACCATAGGAACCATCTGGACATGCTGCAATACCACAATGAACATATCCAGTGGCGTTATCGTAGAGTACAAAATTATACTAACCTAAACCAACCTGCATAAATGTATCTTTATACCCTACTCAATGGATTTCATTGTCACTCACGTTGTAGACATGTGACACCATTCTGGCAGTTTCTGTACTGGGAGGAACAGTTGATACAAAAAGAATAATTCTGACATTCTTCAAACTCAAAGACAGTATATTTTAACTCTGCCAACTGGCGGGACCACGAGGTTTCACAAGAAACGTATACAAGCGTAGGGACATTCGTTTGACATCATCATTGTGACTCACAGCGTTGGCACATGGTGTCATTCATCCATCCTGCTGCACATCCTCCCGGACATACTCCCGTGGCCTTATCACAGCTGACACCATCTAGACAGTTTCCACAATCCGAGGTACAGCTGATACCATAGGAACCATCTGGACATGCTGCAAACACATAAACACAATGAACGAATGGCGTAATCGTATCTTACAAGATGTCCTACTTTTCACTTTGAATGATACAAACCCACCCTGCATAATACATGAATCGTTCATCCATATTGCTGCACATCCTCCTGGACAGGTTCCGTTTGTTTCGTGACAGACAAGACGTATTTCACAAGAGTTTCTACTTTGTAACGAGAATCAAAGAAACCCACCCTGCATGCATGTACCGGTCATCCACCCTGCTGCGCATCCTCCAGGACAGGTTCCGTTTGTCTTGTCACAGCTGACATCATTCAGACAGTTTCCACATTGGGAAGAGCAGTTGAAACCATAGGATCCATCTGGACATACTGCGCGAACAAACGCACAATTAGTATACAGCTACGTGATCAGATATCTAGGACTGACTAGTTTATACGTTGTAATCACAAGACAGTATACCTCACACACCATGACACTCATGTCCTTTGCGAAGCAAGCAACTGTTTCTGATTCCCGGGATAGTGGACATATCAGATTGTCTACTCGTCGTGATAGTACAAACACGAACCACAGAGTTATCTTGCTTATAATCAACACATTTATTACTTTGAAAAGTGTAATTATGTGTAATGATTTTAAGGACATATCCGATTGACTACTTCTTGACTGCTCGATCAAAGATAAATGATCCAATGATGAACTGATTCCCTACCGAGATTGTATAGGCGGGAAAGCAACTATTTTTGTGCATTAAGATAATCTGGACATCAAACCAATTGTTTTTCTAAGATTCTTACGTTGAATGCTTTTGGAATACATTGTTTACAATTTTCACAACTCGTCAAGAATCGTGTTAATTTATGCCCGATTCAGACTTCTTCATCTCCTGAATGTAAGATTCACAAGTTGTTCCCACGTACAAGAGTAAAGAAAGAAATATTTCGTTAAATGTTTACAGTCCACTGCGTAAAAGCTGATCATACACAAAATGTCTGTATTCTCCAGAAAAATGTTTGGTCCCAAGTAAGGTGTCCCAAATTGGAGTGAGAAGGGGATCAACGCCGCGGTCAACTTTATTTTTTTTCATTTGAAGCGTGTGTTGTCATTGGGCTGTGTATAATGTTGCTTTGTCTGCCGTGGTTATTTCGCCTGTCTAAACCAACACTATCCTTCATGATAGATAATGCAATTAGTGAGTGAGTGAGTGAGTTTTGGTTTTACGCCGCTTTTAGCAATATTCCAGCAACATCACGGCGGGGGACACCAGAAATGGGCTTCACACAATGTAGCCATGTGGGGATTCGAACCCGGGTCTAGGCTACCCCACCGCCCCAATAATGCAATGGAATGATAATGATGAAATTAGATAAAGAGATTATTCATAAGATGCACGGTGAATACAGTGTGCATGTCTTACAGCTACCCGCTTCATTGATAAACATGAAGAAGAATTAAAAAGATACACATGGCATGTTGTGAGTGTGGTCTGATTCAAGCTTCATGTCATACCTGTTTGGCAGTCGGTACCATGGTATCCAGGAAAACATCCACTAGAACAGCGACCAGTGATCTTGTCACATACATCAGTACTGTTAAGGCACCGGCACTGTTTGTCACAGTCTTCAGAAAACCATCCGTCACTGCAAACTGAACATCATCAAACAATAGTCACTCACATTTGATAATATAGAAATGTCGCAAATTGAAATTGTTTGTAAAGCCTTGCTAGTGTTTGAGGATGTGATATATTGGAAGTATGAGCTGTCATTTTGAACAGCAATTCCTCATTTGTATAGTGAAATCCCATCATTCGTATCAGCTGATAAAATTTCCAAACATCAATACCCTGTTACTTTCATAGCATACCAAATATCTGCACTTCACACAAAGTAAGGAATTTCTGTTGACCAGGTATCCGTATAGTGACCGTGGTTCCTGTCAGTGGCTGGCGGCAGGTGACGTTAGCTATAGGAGGAGGATGTTCAGTTGATGACCAGTTGTAGCACATCTGGCTGCCCACAAGTATCTCCATGCCGTTGCTTCTCTCCTGAACTGTTAGAAGATGAATGTAAAATGTAAGCATTGACTTGTTTTCTGTGTTAAATGTTAAATGGATATTGATCACTTGATATGAAAGATTATAAACGGAAATATTCTGTTGAGCTAGCCCGTATATGAACCACGGTAAAACGAACCGTATTCAGTTTTACGCAGCTACCAAGCCGCCCCTGTACAGTTAATGCCTTAATTACAAATATAATTATAAATCTGTATAGAATGAAGACAGATAAGATAAATAGAGTAACTCACCTTGGTGCCTTTGGATATAAAGAACATGAACACAAGCTAACACATGTTAAAAACTATATGTGCATCGTCATGAGTGATAAATGTATGCTTGCCAGGACATTGATTAATCGACTATTTTTTACATCACAAGACATTCGGATGAGATTCAGGGGACATAGATACATAGATAATGTAATAATGTAATTGTTAATCTCTAATATTTCCTTGTTGGTTGTTCGTTCACACTGAATTATATATGTTGCGCATAGATCTCCGGATTAAGGTATAGGTTAAATATGTGACAATAGTAATTATAATACAGTTGAATGTAACGATAAAATTCAAAGGCAGTACCATTTCCTACTTGTAACCGCATATCTGCATACATGAGATAGTAATACCTTCCTGACAACTATTTATTGTTAAACACGAAGTCATTGAATCGTGGTAGAACCGATGTAATACAATGACATTATTGTTTTATAATGAATTAGAGTTCTATATAACAATGCCAACATCATTTTATTTTCTTAAATAAATGTAATATAATATGCATAATTTTTAAACGGAGCAACACGTTGAACAAATCGGTAGAAAAGACTATCAGAATACTTGCAGAAGAAAGTGGGCACCAGCACCAACTTTAAACATGTATTTTACGCCTCATGATATTACTCGTTTGACAAAACATGGCCTGAAAACAGAAAGTCCCACTCAACTATCTATATTAAATAGTACGTTGTATAGAAAACAGAAAGTCCCACTCAACTATCTATATTAAATAGTACGTTGTATATAAAAAGCGACAAAACCCCCTCCACGTCCCTAGGAAATCTCTGCTTAAGGCCGAGTGGATTGTACCATTCCGACTATGTTATGAGCATGAGTTAATGAACCACTAGTAAATGGTGATGATGTCAGATGTTTGCAAAAATTACAACACAGCATTAAAACGGAATGGTAAGTGTACGTCCGGTGTAACAATCCAATTCATTGCTCAAGCCACAGAACTAAGTGATAAATCCCCTATCCCCTGTCCTTGGTCCGCAATCAAAAGTGACTGTATTCTTACAACTTCCAACTTCAATGTGACATACGAAATTTCATCCGTCGACTTCATAACTTTGATCCAATATTTAGGTTTGTTATCAACTTCGCATATTCAACCATAAGAACGTATTTCTCTTCAAAGGAAGAAGGGGGTACTCCCAAATACCTATTAATTCCCAAATATGTATGAGTGAGTGAGTGAGTAAGTTAATATTTAGCGTCACATCGGCAATATTTCAGCCATATCGTGACAAGAACAACTTGTATCAATGTTAAAATCAATAAATTTAGAACATAAAAACCTGTCATCGAAGGACAATACAATACTAAAGCATCACAGATATAAAGTTAAAACTAGTACACTGTCATAAAATGAACTCAGTATAGACAGTATAAATTAACGCAAATATGTATGACATAATTAATATTATTATTATAATGCCTAACATTAAAGAGTACGCGTTTGATTTTAAAATGGTATTGTAACTACTCCAAACAATCTGCCATTACATTTCGCTCATACCTCAAGAAATTGTACATGCTATCGCAACATTCAAGTTCACAGATGTATCATTCGATCAACTGAAACTTGCGCTCGTCTCGTACGCCCTCACACATTGTAGGCTGTGATACAGTGAAATTATCCTTCCCTCAATGATGCATATATGATGGCAACACATTATAGACGTATAGCAACCTATAGAGCGTCTTTCTCTGATAAGAGACCATGTGGCCAGGCAAAATCGCTAAATGAAATGGTGGTAATGAGTGAGTGAATGAGTTCAGATTTAAAGTCACATCGGCAGTATTTCAGCCATATTGTGACTATATCAAATATATATTAATAACAGTTATAGGTAAAGTATAAACCCTGCCAACGAAGGACATTAAAACAACTAGAATATCACAGATATAAATGTAAGAGTAGTAATATAAACTAAAACATTTTAAGTATACATGACAATACAATATAAAAACAGGCTATAGATTGCCAACAACCGAAGGTAGATCACCATACCAGGGACCATGGGGACTTACAGTACTTTTGCTACCTGCATGGACCCTAGCTGGATTTACACCATCCCTTCAGCTGTCGGCAATTTTTGACAATCTAGCCATGACATTAAAAATAACATATATACTGCAGTTAAAAATCATGGTAAGTTTAATTTGCTTGAATTGTTTTGGGACTTACGTACCCTCTCAGAGGGAAAATGGTGGTAATGAATGATGGTACCAAGGACATGTTAGATTACGGGGGAGTTAGTCTGGAGAGCATCGTGACATTACAACCCATCCTGATCTGTTAGCGAAGCATTTGGATTTTTTAGGAAGCATTATTCATACACGTGTGAACTCACGGTCGTCGCCACGTAGATAGAGTCTGATGTGTTGTATCTTCTCTGGAACTGAAGTGTTCAGGTTCACAGTCCAGGTGGGATTTGTCTCTTTCTTTGTATGAGCACATGTCCGTGGTGAGCTATGGGCATTTGTGGTGGCTCTGCCGTCCACACCAAGTGCTGCTCCATACTGATTTGGATCATTGCTTAGTGTGCTACTCTGGCTGCTAGATCTCCGCAAAGCAATGTTTTCTGAAATATAGGTACATAATTAGTATCACAAGTATCGGTGACTTGCAATCATTGTTTTACATAATTATACCCGTCTACTCATCTACCCCACACTCATGTACATATTCATGACTTTGTTTATTCACCACATCTACCCATCAACTTCACACTCACGATTCTGACAGTACGGACCAAACCATCCTTCCTGACATCTGCCTGGATCACCGACCTGGCTACAGGGAGTAGAGGGGAACACGTCACAGGCAGCTACAGTGTTACAGTGACATTCAGCATCTGTTTGAAAAGGGGTACCTCCGTTTTACTGAATTTTTATTATTACTTCAAACATATTTTCTATTACAGTGAAAACAGTCATGGGGTTTGGTGAGTGAGTGAGTGGGTTACAGTTTATAGTCTCAGCGGCTGTATTTCAGTCATATCGTGACTAAAATAGTTAGAAATTCATGATAACTACACAAATTTTAAGAAACTGTCGACGAAGGACAACAACACTAACTAGAATATCACAGTATCAAGAATTAAAACTGGCATCTTTCTCCAGAATTGGATTCCAAATTAGGACAATAAAATATAAAAAGGGCTGAGTAAAAGGGCGCCAGGAACTGGGTAGATCACCATACTAGGGACCATGGGGACTAACAGTACTTTTGCTACCCACATGGACCTTAGCTGGATGTACAACCTCTCGTTAGCCGCTGGCGATTGTACAGAATTTTAGCCATCACTTAAAACAACAAACATACTACGATTAAAAGCTTGGTAGTGCTAAAGTTACCTTGAAAGTTTTGGAACTTGCGTAAACTCTTAGGTGGACAATCATTTTACAATACTTTAACCCCCTTCGAGGATGGAGCCACTAACAACCTCGGTTGCTCATTCAATCAACCGAGTATAAAATATCTTTGATCTATTTACAAAACATAAAATTATGTTTTTCTAATACTTCTATTTCTCAAATAAAAACAATTATTAAATGATAATTTACATTATGACAAAAATCCTTAAATGTTTTGACACTGAAATATTTTTTCCTTGTGATGGAAAAGGCAATACAGTCAAGCTGAACGTGCTTGGCCGTGATGAAAATAGCTTAATATTTGTGAATCAAGCCAACAATGAACTCAACTAGTTTAACATATTTCACTTTCTGTGAATAAAGTTCCTACCAGAGAGGGTCACCGAGACACAGGCAATGAACAGTCCCATCCAGAACCAGCACATGTTGGATACCTACATGAAAAGACAAAGAATAGGGAAATTGCAATGTTCTGATAACAAGAATAGCGAATCTTACCAGAACGTGTTTTATATAATATTTCAGCAGGCTTCTAGCACGACATTACACTTGACGGGCTTTACGTCGAGTGATGTTCTATGCTTTTTTCACTAATATTTCCACAATTAAATAATGTTTTAATACAATATACCTAGATATTACGACGGTTCGTTATGTAGGATGGGACTAGATTGCAGTATACGAGATACCTTTCGCCAATTTTGTGAGGGAAGTGCGTGAGCTCCTTTCATAGTAACTGTATCTAAAAGGATTATCTGCCATTTTCATGAAATTAGCAGAGGACATGGGAGGTTTCCCTACAGACGAACTGATTTGAAAAGAGCTCTCGTAAATAGTTGTCATTTTCAAATACCAAAGTAAATAAAAAATACTATATGTTTGCTGAAATGTAATGCCAATGCAACCACCCGAAGTAGAGCCGCACGTCATCACAGAACTTTAAAATTTCATGTTTATATCATACTCAATTTCGTGTTAAGTCATAGTCTACGGTACAAATAAACTGTTATTAAGTTTGGAAGTATATGCTATGTACTGAATCCATCCATATTTTAAGCTGGTCAAAGAAAAAAGTATGTGTAAGCTCAAACATTCCACAAATACTTAATTAACATGGCATATATTGCATGACTTCGTTGTTATACATATAGTACTCATCTCCAAAAGCAACAGATTTCTGTGGTAGTTAATGTTTTTGCTGGTGCGTGTGTAACCAACGAGGAAGTGAATCATCATGGTGGGAAATCGCTCACGTGAGCAAGAGATAGACTGAATAATTGTAATAAAAGCATGCGTATATATATCTTGAACATATTTTCCTCATTGGACAGTGCATATAGTTATGTACTGAATAAAATTTACAAATATGACAGAAAAGTTGCAAAGCTGACATGACATAGTCTTTAGTGAGTGAGTATGACTTTACGCCGCTTTTAGCATTATTTCAGGAATATCACGGCGGAGTCACCAGAAATGGGCTTCACACTCTGTACCCCAATCGAACCCGGGCCTAGGCTACCCCACCGCCCGACATAGACTTTAACACATGAGATTATATTAAGTCTTGTAAATAGTGTAAGCACATGGGATAATGCATGCGTGTACCAGCCAAGCATGCTACTTACATACTCTACCGAATGCATGGTGCATAGAATAACAAGCTTTCATTGTACATGTTTTCCCTTGTTTCCTTTAATCACTGTACATGCATTATGTGTGTTTTAATATATGTTTTTTCTTATCGTTGTAGTCATAAGTTGCTTCCATCATCCTTTGTTGTTTTCATAAGTGGCTTCCAATCAATCCTATCATGTATATCTTAACCTTTACACTGTATAAACATTCTGTACGTCCTTTGCATAAACATACCACTTAATCTCTTCCAACTCTGTACATCTCATCAAAACACATCACTTAATCTCTGTACATCTCAATCTGTAATACTATATCACTGGCTTCCTGTACATACTATATATTTTCCTTGTATCAAATTCTGTCATTCACCTGATGAAGGGGCAAGAAGTAGCACAGAAACGTCGTGTTGTAAACATTAAAGAAGTTGTAAACCCATACCGTACGTTGTTGTGTTACCTCTCAACTTCTAAATGCCCATCAAGCATCTATTTACATACCTGCTTCCTGCTGCAGGCAAGTTGCAGTAATTACTGGAAGAGAGATATCGATGCGCAAAAAGATAACCTACTGAAAGTGTAATCCAGAAATGGTAGTGTTGTACACAATGCACATTCTACAGATCGCCTGCACCTGACCCAGAGCTGGTACTAACAGCGCCTCATGGGTGTTTGAACAGTTGTCATGGGCAATATAACTGAACTTACACCGTGGAGTATTGGTCATATTTGGATGATTTCCGTGTTCAGAGATGAACAATGCTCTCTATATATAATCACCCCAAAGCGGACCCGAAATTTTGTCCTTATTGGCCCCGACACAACGAACTGTGTATCGTTCAGATTACTCCGTCAATTCTGATACTTCAGCCTGCTGACGTCAGTAAGATGCGGGGTCTAGTAAGATCAGCAAAGATGGACGACAAATCGTCGTATGAGATCTGATCAGCATCATAGAATCATCGCTGTGGCACATGTAAGCTTTGAGGAAAAGGCTAAAATTACATTTTCTCTGTAATTCAGTTTAGCACGTGCACGTTGATACTGAGACACGATATTGTGCTACCTCAGAGAAGTAGTTCTCGTTAAGATAGTGAAAGGATTACAGATGTGAACAGAAATAACATCCGTCAAGAAAATATTTTCTTTCGAGATGAATAGATTTGATATAGCGTTTCCATCGGTATGTACTGACATATTAGCGTTACAAAGGCAGTTACAGTTACCAGCTGCAAGGATGAGGATATAACACTCAAGTACAAAAAGGTCCTTTCATCTAACAATAATAGTACTGTGAGTGTGTTTGCTCACACTTTTACATGATCGTTCTTATGCAAAGTATTTATTTTGGGATCATAAGCATCTGTACAATTGCAGGTCGAGAAAGAACCACGCCTAACCTGTTGTAGATTTACAAAATGATTTACGATAAGGGTCATATATGGCTATAAAAGTGAATCATGAAGAGGATGACTTCTTAGCACTCGATGCAAACTGAATCATGGGACAGTCAACTTTGGGCTCGTTACGAACTGAATCACAAGGGTGATCACCTTACTATGCGCTACAAACTCTGAATCTTGAGGAGGATCACCCTACCACTCGCTACAATCATACTGCAGATCACCTTAGCGCTCGTTACAAACTGAATCATAGTGCAGATCATCTTAGCGATCGTTGCAACCTGAATCATAGGCCAGATCACCTTAGCACTTATTATAAACTGAATCATCGTGCAGATCAGCTTTGTGATCGTTACAACCTGAATCATAGTGCAGATCTCCTTAGCGCGCGTCACAACCGGAATCATAGTGCAGATCATCCCAGCGCCCATTACAAACTGAATCATAGTGCAGATGTCTTTAGCGCCCATTAGAAGCTCAATCATAGGCCAGATCACCTTAGCGCTCATTATAAACTGAATCATAGGCCAGATCAGCTTTAGTGATCGTTACAACCTGATTCATAGTGCAGATCACCTCAGCGCTCGTTACAACCTGAATCATGATGCAGATCACCTTATTGATCGTTACAACGTGAATCATAGTGCAGATCTCTTTAACCATTGTTACAACCTGAATCATGGGGCGGATAACCCTATCACTCGTCACAACCTGAATCATACTGCTTTGCGCTCATTACAAACTGAATCATAGTGCAGATCACCTTAGCTCCCATTACAAACTGAATCATAGTGCAGATCACCTCCACGCTCGTTACAACCTGAATCATGGTGCAGATCCCCTTAGCGATCGTTACAACCTGAATCATAGTGCAGATCACCTCAGCGCTCGTTAAAAACTGAATCACAGTGCAAGTCTTCTTAGCCCTCGTTACAACCTCAATCATAAGGCGGATATACTTTCCGTTAATAGAAGAATCAGTGTCCACAAGAATGCACTTCTACAGCACAGTTTTAACGGTGCTAACTGTGATTGCCTGCGTGTTACTGACTGAAATATGCCTTCATGTTTCACAAATACCTTTAAAAACAGGTAGATTACATATCATGAAAACGTAAGGTAAACCACACGTGTTGTCATATCAGTTCAAACAGGTTCAAGGATGTTCAAGGAAGCTTACATGGTAATGAATGGATGCTGGCCAAACGAATTACAAGCTGAGCTTCGATACTTGAACAAGATTCCGTGCCACTGAAATGTGATCGTATTGTGTTTACAATAGCTGCCCATGAAGCTAATTAATAGTGAAATAGGATATTTAGGAAAGCACTGATAACAATGATCATGCTCACCATCTAGGTATATTGGTTGTTACACACATAGACACACGGGATTACAACAGAAAGAAGCATGTCAATACGCACCTCACAGTAGGGCAGAACAGTATCTGTACAGTTACACGGTATGCTAACACTCTACCCTACTTGGCTACCAGGAAGTGATAGAGTGAGACAGGAAAAGTGTCATATGACATAGGCATTGTGTTTATCACTTTCCTGATGGATCTTTGTAAACAGTGTCTGCTTTAACAACAATTGTAATAAAATGATCGCTTTATATAAATCACAAGCACGCACTCACTTGTGCATGCTCAATGCGCTAGCACATTATTACCCTGAATAACCCAAGCTGTCTGTGAGCCGCTAGAAGGTTAACAGCCCTAATTACGTATCCCACCGGGTACCCATTCAGTGCTGGGTAAACAGAGACAATTTATGAACACACGGGATTACAACAAAAAGAGTGAGTGAGTGAGTCACCTCGGCAATAGTTCAGCCATATAGTGACGGGAAATGTTGTACATACACTATAAATACAAGTAGTTACATAACCAGTCTGTAACTGGACTGTAAAATAACTAGAGTGTCGCAAAAAGAGTTAAAACTAGCTAGCATGTAGTTTTAAAAGTAGAAAACTATTTTAGATAATATAATGTAAAAATGGGCTATTGATCGCCAACAACTGAAGGTGGATCACCGTACCAGGGACCAAGGGGTCTTACAATGCCTTTGCTACCTACATGGACCCTAGCAGGATTTACACCATCCCTTCAGCTGCTGGCGATTTTAGGCAATTTAGCCACAATGAAATGTACAATAATACTACGAGTAAAAAGGTTGAAGATAAATTTTGTCTCCGAATGTTTTGGGACTTACGTATCCTCTTAGGAGGACAATAATTTTACGGTAGTTCAACCTCCCTTGAGGATACCGCCACTAACAGTCTAAGGTGCTAATTTAACTACCAATGATAAAATATATATCCTATATACAAAACATAGCCATCAACATTTATCAATTAGTTCAATTGCCTTTAAAAATTCAATAATTAAATGATAATTAATACTGATATAAAAATCCTTAACTGTTTTTGCACTAAAATATTTATCCCTTGTGATGGAAATACAACAAAAAGAAGTATGTCAATACGCACCTCACACATCAACACCTCACAATAGGGCAGAACAGTGTATGTACAGTTACACGGTATGCTAACACTCTGCCTTACTTGGCTACCGGGAAGTGATAGAGTGAGACAGGAAAAGTGTCATATGACCTAGGCATTGTGTACATGTATATCACTTCCCTGATGGATCTTTGCATACAGTGGCTGCTTTAACGGCAATTGTAATATAATAATCGCTTTATATAAATCACAAGCACGCAATCACTTGTGCATGATCAATGCGCTAGCACATTATTACCCTGGATAACCCATGCTGTCTGTGAGTCGCTAAAAGGTTAACAGTGATATGACTTATCACATCGGGTACCCATTCAGTGCTGGGTAAACAGACAATTTATGAACAAACTCACTTGCTTAAGGTGAGGCCAAATCTGTCAAACGTGCCTCATTGTTAGACAGGGCTAAAGCTCTAGAAAATCTCAGGAGTCAAGCTGCCAAACACGGTCACCCATCCAAGGAATCTCTGTTTCAAACGTTGCTTAACTTCAACTTATTTGTGACCTGGACTGTAATACAGAACGCCAGTGCAAAGGAATGTCCAATCTTACATGTAACTATAATCAGAAACCATGTCTGTTTGGTGTAAAAAGTAAAATAGCTGTGAAGTCACCTACCATTAAAGGCCAAAATTAGATGTGAAAATTATGTGAACGGATTAATTAAAGACACCAGCTGTTCGCAAAAGGGTAAGCACGCCCTGTCTAACTGTAGCACAAGCCCTTTAGACCTCCTGGGTTCACCTGTTGTCAGTTACTACACAAAGCAAAGCAATATATACTCATGTACAAAAGAAAGTACTCACCAGGTGTATTGAGACTATTCCCAACTAAGCAAATATTTTGTTAGCAACATTGTAATTGGGTAAGACATCTAGTGTTATTGCAACACGTACACAATGTTTGTGACTTGTAGGTTACAATCAAAACACTTTTCTAATTTTAACGCTGTTTTCAAGAAAATGTTTTACCAAAGCATCAAGTGTGTACTTTCTTTTGTACGTCAGTTTATATATTCGTACGATATTCCTTTTCAATAACACTCAGAAGTTTTTTTTTCTTTTGGTACTTTCGCACTCTCTTGTGCATGTTTTGTATCAGTAACTGTGTTGTATTTTAAAACTGATCCAAATAATATGTTGTTATGCTACCAAAACAGTTGTTCATTCGTCTAAGCAATGTTTCATCACAAGATATAAATTGACGAAACACATCCTGATAACAAAAGGGAGAGTTATACTCCTTTTAAAGATGGGTAAATGCAAAATCTCAGTTGACAATGGTGTGACAGCCATTTGCGCTGACACGGGCGACAAAATACCTAACAGTTGAACCCAACCCGTTGGATGTTGTTCCATATGTCAAGTAAAGATATTTCGTCCCTGTATTTGCATCGGAAAGCATTGGGCACGAACTCTACAGATGTTGTCCAGCTTGTGTGATCCATTCAAACAATCCTTTTGGCTGTGATGTCGCACACTTTCAGTGACGACGTTGAAACACAAGTGTCTCCTCGCACGACCATAAAAGCCGTGCAGGTGAATCCTCTACTGTGAACGGCATACCGTTCTAGTTTGAATCTCAAATGTTCTCAGCGCCATGCTAGGGAAACCTGATCGTGAAATAGAAGTATAGTTAGGCCTATCGCTGGACGTCAGGGACGGAAGTTTTGCTCGCTTAACCACTTTTATGGTTCTGCCCTTAATCGTTCACTCATTAAGGAAGGATATCAATATATGGATATACAACTTCTTTATTCCTTTATTTAAGTTGTTCATCCATATCTTGTTATCCTCCCTGACTGCTCCAACTTCTAAATACCTCTCAAAGAAGTTATCGTTCACACATTGGAGGGGCGGTGGTGTGGCCAAGTAGTCGCTCGTCCCGCCGTAGATCCGAGTTCGATTCCCCACACGGGTACAATATGTGAAGTCTATTTAACTCCCAACAGACAAGCGAGCAAAAATTAGCTACAATTTTAATACTAGTATTTACTGAAGATGCTGACGAATGATAAACAGATACACTACTTTTAACAGAAAGTGGTGACAAATGACAAACATATACATTGTATTAACATTAGATGTGACATATGATGACACAAATAACGAAATTGTATAAACATTCAATGTTAATCATACGTGATTAAACTTTTCTATATTTTACAGAAGTTTATTAACAATGTTAGCGCGTTGTAACAAGTCTTAGATATCAGCTTGTTGATTGCTCTTTTGATTGACATATAATACCTCGCCTAGGAATATGCTGTTTTCTCACTTCATTTAGAGATGGACAGATAATTGTAAAATGAAATTTTATAATATTATATTTATTGCATATTATAGTAAACACATAACCCATCATGACTTGAGATACCCTTCCGCCTGCTGTATCAATATTAAGATACGAAGTCCTAGCTCTTAATCTTGAACATGGTTTTGTTTCAAAGAGGAAAGTACAAGATGCATGTTTGGTTCAAGAAGCACTTTAAATGGTTGTAAGAAGGGATGACAATCTATGGAAACATGGTAAACAATGATTGAATGTTTACATTAGAGTGGGGTACAGGGTGCAATGACTGTTGACACAACTTGAATTACGAATGACAATTGTAAACATGTTACCACGAACCGGTTTAGTTGGAATATTAACAAATGTCTTTAAACAACCCGGAAGAAACTGTAAAGTGGCACACGCCCCATGGAAAATAACGCTAGTGTGAAAACTTTATCCTAGTCAACATCGTTCCTATTTATGGAGACCTTGTACATCCTCATGTGTACATAGCCGTGAAGGTCCGGGTTAGAATTATTTATCTTCAGTAATCCATGCTTGTCGTAAGAGGCAACTAACGGGATCGGTTGACACATGTCATCGTTCCCAATTGGGCAGATCGATGCTCATGCTGTTGATCACTGGATTGTATGGTCAAGACTTGATTATTTACAGACCGCCGCCATATAGCTGCAATATTGCTGAGTACGCCGTAAAACTAAACTCACTCACTCACTCATTTGTACACCGATATCGCATGACCTGGATTCTATTCCGCTTGTGAACGTACTAAACAGAGATGGTCTTCTCAACATTGGTACTAGCAATTTAGCTGAACTTGTAATGCATATAATGATATCATGTTGGTTTGGCAGATTGGAAACAGAAGAATTTCCTTTACAATTACTAGACGTCTCTATTGACACCCGACCCGTGAAGATCCGGGGAAGAATAGATCTTCAGCAACCCATGTGCTTGCCATAAAAAGGCGACTATGCTTGTCGTAAGAGGCGACTAACGGGATCGGGTGGTCAGTTTCACTGACTTGGTTGACACATGTCATCGGTTCCCAATTGCGCTGATCGATGCTCATGCTGTTGATCACTGGATTGTCTGGTCCAGAATCGATTATTTACAGACCGCCGCCATATAGCTGGGATATTGCTGAGTGCGGCATAAAACTAAACTCACTCACTCACTCTATTGACACCTGGCGCATCTCATACACTCAGCAATGAGTCAGGTTACAGTAACAACAAGACTGCATAATAATAAGCTTCGGTTGTCAGGCCTGCTTTGTTCATGCTTGTTGTTATCAGGTGTCAGAGGCCTGCGTGTACTGGGAGATACTGACTGGGTGTTGTATGATAGTTGGTAGCTAAGGTTCATTGGGTTATTTGATCCAATTACTTGGATCAAGCTTATTAACATCATGATGCTTGATACAACATTGAATACGCATTGAAGAAAAATGTATTCATTCTGCAACAGACGTTGTGTACTTCTGTCAGGTCGATATCAATATGAAATATGTGCATGGTCTTTCATGATAATGTTGGATTTTAGCATTATGGCCTCGTCCCGCCCATGTAGGATATTCGTTACCACGTAAAACAAATTGTTTGCAGCTTATCGTATTAGCTTGGAAGTACTGTTTGCAAATGTGAATTCATGAATCATCAACAATGAAGTTATTGTCAAGGCGTTAACAGTTCTTATCGTAATATTTGATATTTCATTGTCAGTGGAACTGAATGATCCTGGTCGAATCCTTTATACCTAAAGCATCGATATCTCGTTGACTCCACGATATTTGAAAATAGTAAAGGTTGTGAATGCCCAAATAACTAAGAAATGTTATAGCGTAAGCAAAACTATAAAAACCCAATAATATACAAAAAGCGTAATAGAAAGGTATCCTTGTTTGTGTAAAACACCGTAGGATCTCATTCATGTCACATATTGGTGTAGATGTTGGTGGAACGTTTGTACTCCTTCACCATGTGATAACACAGCTTGAACTGGTCCTGCAAATAGATAATGCTAGTCATGAACATTTACGCCAACAGTAATAACTCATGGACACAAGCATCATCATCAGCATAGATAAAACATTAAACACATAGCCCAGTTTTTACAATATGTTGACCAACCGCATATAAATCTTGCTATACGAAGCTGCCTCCTAGTTTATACTTTCCTTTTTATCTTTAGACATGTGCTCAAGCACAAAATTGATCACTTCGCAAAACCTTGCAAATCGTTTGATTTTCTTTAAAAACATATAATGCCTGTAACAATCTGAATCTCGATTGTGTCTGTGATTTTATATGTGCAGACCAGCGAGTATACGTTGCGATAAGCAGTTCACATGTAAACGACTACAAATAACTGTGGAATTGTAGAAGCATATCATTTGGATCAGTTATTCAACTCACGAAGGACTGTATAAACTGTGATCTGACACGCTGCAGTTCCCTGATGGTGAGGAAGATGTCCACGTCTCCGTCCAGTCTCAGTCTGCTGATGACGTTAAGGATACTGCAGAACACGCCGCTCACGCTGGCACCGTCACTGATTCACAGAAACCATGGCTACATAAAGCAACATTGTCTTCGAAGTCATCCACACACGTTTCCATTTGTAAATGATTTATGTCATTTATATATTTTGTATTTTCATATATATAACTTCCAATATCAAGTGTTGGATTAATATTGTCTATGAATACGTTTCAATTTGTAAATGATTTCAATCATGAATTATGTATTTTCATATCTATAATTGTGTAGATTTAATACCTTATTGTTCATCTGGTATCATGCTTCAGATAATAGTAGTGATGTATTTTGCATAATTCATATTCTTATAACTGCACTGTAAGGAATTATATAAATACATACTGGCAGTGTATAAGGACCGCTTGGTCTTCAGAGCTGATGATTCTGTCCACCAGATTGATTAGTTCCAGAAGTGAGACACTGTTGGACATCATGTCCAGCGACCGGAGACTGAACAAGGTGACTGAATGCTCGGTACCCTGAACAATATTGAAACATCCACAATTATTTAATGAACAGCATATCTCCGATATGTACAATGCGCCATCATATTAAAATATAGTTTACAGATATAATACTGAGCTGTTTTAACTTTTTCTGGACAATAACTGTGTAAATATACAACATGATAAATGAACTTGTCATTACATAGATCATACGATCATATTTTACGTTCATTTTGATCATCGATTGCTTTATGTAACAAAACTAACCTTCTTGTCATGTACAAGTATTAACTTTCTCTCGTTGTAAAATGTCTCGCCCTTGTTAGAAGTGGTTGCCCCTTGTTTCACATTAAATGGTCCATTCTTCAACACTTTGTTCTTTTTAGGGTACATATCATCCGTATCCTAGATAACAAAGTGAAATGTTGGAATCACATTTTAGTATGCAGATTTCAACATGTTGGCAGCCTCTCTTATAAGCTTAACAAAGAGGATGATTCACATTTTTCAAAAGGTCCATCTTAAAGCAAGCAAAATACCATAAGATCCAGCTCGTTTGCATTTCTCATTTCCTTAGTTCCTTCTGAGCATAGACATTGTAATTAAACTGCACAGAAAGATACACTTTGCTTTTCAGTTAAGCTGTTAAATAAATATGTCAAGACATTTAATGACAGACATGTAAAGCAATTAAATAAATATAAACACTCAAGAACTCAACAATTACATGCTTTCCCCATCTACAGTCAATGGTGCATACTACTTTCCATGGCCATTTTCAATGTTGACGTTAAAATACACACATCATTTTATCCACTAACTAAAGCCAAAAGACATCACACGAAACAAAAGGGATTATATAAAAGATCATTTCGTACAAATTTACATATAAGTTTTATCAAATGTAGAATCGACACAAATGAAGGAAAGACAGCTACGAACACAATGATGTTACCTTTGAATCGTCCAAACAGACAACTGTGAAGCAGTCATGGTCGTACACCAGTCTCCAGAAGTCCACCACAGTATCTGGCAGTGGAGTCTGGGTGACTATCATGGACGATGGTCGAAGTGCAGACTAGAGTAAACATAATGAGTGAGAGAGCAGATTTTACTTATCATTATCATTCTAGGTAAAACGGGAAATGCTTCTTATTCAGTTCACTTATGTAAGGAAAATGAACTTGGGTCTTTGGCATGATGTGCAAACGCTTTAACTATAAGGCTAACCTGTAGCCCCAGTAAACACAGAGTTCACGGCAGTATTACTTGAGTATCAAGAGGGATGATTGTCTAAGGTTATATGATATATATAAAGAAAGCATGTCGTCATTACCAGTATGGTATCAATGAACATGACTATATATCAACAACTATAATCCATTTTATGCTAGTTGTGATGACAAGACAATGTTTATTACCGCAACGGTTCAACATATCTGACAACGAATAGCACACAGCACGCATTTGCCCCAGTAATATATAGCTCTATGATTTCGTGATCATGTTGTTCAGCATTGCAAAGAGGAATGAGTGGCATACTTACTGGCAAAACCACAGCATTGATGAAGTCATTCCTACTCTGGACTTGAGTACACAAGTAGGGTCGTGAATTGTTTCCTGTAACAATACATCAGACATAAAATTAGAATCAAGCTCGTTGTCCTTTTATATTTTAATCTACATTGACATGTATATCCTATTAGGGACATGGCTATCAGGACTATATTGTCATCGTTATTCTTTTTCTGGTCCTTTTAATCAATCTTGCGGTTGTATCAGGGAGTACTGAGGTCAAGATCAGATCTAGACAAGCCAATGGCGGTTGTCGGCATAAGATGCGACAAAATTAAGACACGTGACTGATGAGGTTCTTAAGATTCTAACCCCGGATCCTTGTGTTAAGTGCTATATATGACAAGGTCATGCAAAAGGATTAACCCTAGGGAGAATTTATTTTTACATAATGTATGTAATCAAAATGGAAAGCCACCAGGGACAATTTGAATGGAATTGTAAAATTGTGCTGAATGTGTGATACGTACCAGGGAGGATGTTCCGGTTCCTATTTTTCGCCGCATTTTCTAGAAGCAAGGCATGCGAAGTTTCCTCCTCTGTCAGGTCAGATGTCTGTACTTGAAGTAACTGAAGAAACAAAGAAAAGGCTTCCCATGAAGTCCCAATGGAAATCCTTGACGCATAGTGTGTATTGTATATGTGCTGTACACAAAGTAAAGAAACAAGCTCTGCTAGGATAATCATTTTGATAGAAACATAATCTTTCGAGAAGCTGTATATACATGCACTTACTTTAAATTGCTTTTTCAGTATGTTCTCTTGCTTTGTCGTAAACGTCCCGTCCACACCAAAGGTTTTGTCAAACTCAGACGAAGTGTAGAGTGTTCCTCGACTATTAAGAGCCTCCAGGACCACATCATGTACAAACTCGTACTGTTTCTGAATAGAACATATGCATTATTCCAACCTCAATTAAACACTGTGGAGACCACCTGACCACATTTTTTCTGAACAAACATTGAGGGTATTTTGTCAGTGTATTTGAGTGAAATAAGCGACACAGATGAGATAATGTCGACACAATCCACCAAAAGTATCCATTTATTCAATCAGACACACATCCGTCTCATTTCCTTACGAATCGTCGAAACTAAAAAGAGAGCGTTGCTTCGAGCCTTGCACTTCTGTAAAGAACTTGACTGGTAATACAGAATAAAACATCTAGCACAACTCTTGGTCTCAAGCATCAGAAGATGGGTTCGATTCCCCAAATGGGCACAATGTTTGAAGCTCAATTTTGGTGTCCCCCCGCCGTGGTATTGCTGGAATATTGCTAAAAGCGGCGTAAAACTAAATACACTCACTCACATCTAGCACAACCCTTGGTCTCAAGCATCAGAAGCTAATGTCTTGGTGTTCGCTATACAAGGATAAATCTATTCACTGTTCAGGGAACCCTGAGATACCACCTACCGCTTTCTGCACCATGTTCATCCTGTTTTGTCTCATTTTGCCAACACACATGTACACGTTGACCCTGTTGTCGCTCTCAGCTTCGTCCATCAGGTAGTCCAGGGAAATGAATGCCCCTGTTCTTCCCACTCCAGCGCTGAATAAAACAACATCACTGTCTGAACAGATTCCTATTTATATCAATACACATTCACACAAGACATTTCTGAAGCAACTTCCATTTATCCATGATATATGTCGACTTCCAGTCTGCGAAAACGGGTACTGACACCTTGTTCGTGCATGTAGTTGTTCATAAGAGTATACGTACATGGATACCATGAGAACCTGTTAGTTGACACCGAGGCGTTCACCCACCTTGAAGTTACCAGCACTGTGGCTGTATGACCACTTCTCCTGTTTTCTTTCGAAAATAATGAACAGTTGCGTTACATGCATTGAGCCACCGCGACTCCTGCGTACAAGCTGGTTCCGTAAAGGACATTCAAATATTACATATGTTATTGATACCATCTAATTACTATTGGATTGCAGCCGATTTTTCTACTATTTCTGTAATATATAACTTTATATTTTCTTTGAAATCTTACTTATACGCTTAGTCTTTGTATATACAAGCTTGATTTCTGTGTGAAGCCCATGTCTGTTGTCCCTCGTCGTGATATTGCTTGACTATTGATCAAAGCGGTGTAAACTAAACTCACTCACTCACTCTTTTTATCTCTGGAAAACTCGAATGCTGATGCGCCGTAAAGCAATTTTACTCTGTTATTCGTCTGTCCTCAATTTAGTTTCAGTGTACACATATTGAAACATGGTCCACCTTCAAGTATCCACCAAAGGGTTACTATATATATCAGTGGACATCCCCCATTCCAATCAGTACTCTCCGAGAAGGAATCTCCATGTGAGCCTTATTATAAGTAGGTAAAGCCAGTGGACACACATGGAATACATGGTCACTCAGTAGTTAAGAATGATCTGATGTCTACAATGGGTCTGTATGAGTATAGACATATACAATACCTGCAGTGTACCACCATGGGTCCCCTGTCCCTGTCTCCATGTTTGACCAGTCTCCAAAAGTTGACGAGGGCAGGAGCAGAAGGAACACCATGGTCAGGCCAAGATGTGAAGTGGTAGTGCGTGACAGTTCTCTCGACACCCTGTAGGTATGCGACTCATACTTATAACCAGGGTAAGGCGGTATATTATCATAATTAGAAAGATGTCTTTTAACAATTTTGAAATATGAATATGGCTGGTTACAATACTGGTTCCTAGAAAGTTTACAACAAGAAGAGGAAGCAGATGTTATGTTCATTCCAAATATTGTGTAACTGTAGAAAATTAACGTACAGTGTCTGTGCCAAGCGGCCAGGTGAGCACCAAATAGCGCTTGGTAATGCTTAGATTCTATGCATCCGTGCATTTAAAGTTAGTGTTAATATTAAGTACACGATGCCATTTAACTTCAAGGAGCTTCACCTGCATAGATTACAGAGATTGGCTGGATCATTTGCCAAAATATCGGTGTACATGTTATCCAGCTGTTCATCCCTTTACATGGACATTTATCAAAAGCCAATATAATTCAAATATTGTACATGCACGTGAAAGGTAAGATAAGCAAGTATGCAAACTTACGGATTTCTTTACCAGAAACTTGGATATTTTGTAGTCAGCCCTTACTGTCACATTGGTGTTCATCACCTTGACGTGTCCATATGTTTTAGCCTTGTTCACATCAGGCCAGTAGTGTTCACATTTTGTCTATGAACAAACTCTGATATTACATCCAATATACAAATCGACATATTCTAAAAAGTAAAAAAAAATGTTGTTTCACTGAATATGTCGCCTGTGTCATTTTTAAGAAATTTGCACACCACCATGGAAGTTTCCTTCCATCGGGCAAGTATTTTTCCATATTTTATGTGGAAATACGAACATATGAAAATAACCGTTATGACACAAGTAATGTCCTGAACACATCCTACCTTGTTCACCTCCATCAGCCTCGTCAGCATGACTATCTGTGTGACGTCCTCCTGCCACACCATCCGCCAGAAGTCAGTGACTGTACCCGGCTTGGGTCCTTGGTGCAAGAAAGAATGGATTACAAACACTTTTTTAAAACTAAATCATATCGTGATGCCTGATCACCATCTTAACATAATCAACAGAACATGTAATGAATATATGGTGAAAGATAGAAAGCAGCCGTGCTTACCTTGTGTGGCTATGTATTTTGGAGTATCATCGTATCCCTGGGGAAAAATATACGATTATTTTCATCAATAACTGTGGCTACGTTAAAGCAATCACATATTAAGTGTTACGTGAATACGACTGAAATACATACATTCCCACAATTATCCATGTGCAGAAATGTCTGGGAAAACATCGAACTGGTATTTGATAACTGACTTAATGGCAATATATTCACCATAACACTGACATGTACAGATGATAGTGGATTCTACTCACCAACATATAATTTGCATTGATGTAATCCTCTCCCTCCGTCAACACAACCCTCGAATCATCATCTGAATAAAACGTTTATTTGAGATTCACGGATATTTGAGCCATGCAGATGATAGATGTGCCAAGTGAAGCCCCACAATAAAGTTGTTTCTGTGCAGCACTTAATGATATAACATATACGTACATGATAGTTGTCATTAATTAATATTTGCATGAATATTAGTAGATTGTCTTTGACACAATGAGTTCAAAGGACGATTATTGGTGGAAAAGACTTTCAAATGCTAACATTTTTCATGATACGTTCTATGTAATATATATATTGATTGATGACTAAGGACTAAGGACTGAAGAAATATATCTTAACAATGACAAATCATTGTTTTCAGTAGTTCAGTATCTCATAATGTCATGCATCCTGCCAAAGAATTGCAATGGACGATCTACTTACATGCATACAGGGCAAGAAAACGGTTCTTCTTCCTGTTGTCTGCTTTCTTACCAGCCTCATGTGGATGTCTTGCTCCATACGGGATGCTCTGACATAGAGTGTCACGTGGTACGTGTGCATGAATATGCATATATGTTGACAATTTAGGTAGAATTAAGGTAGGATATCAATACTAACAGCTATCAAATTTGAGTATTTTTGATGACCATATCACCGGTAACTATAAGCGAAAAGAAGGATACTCGTGTTAATGAAATACAGTCGACATGTTATTGATTATGGAGGCTAAAGATATTTCCGTACGTCTTGCAATATCCAATGGTAACACGCTAATAATCTGCTTGATGATATATTTCTCACACTAATTAAATACAAAGACATGACAACTGGTGTGGCGATTTGTTACGAGAAAACACTACACGATAAATATAATTGTGTTTTGATGTTTAACATGAAACACTGTTAAAGAAATGAACGGAAAATGGTCTGAACCTTAAACTATATGCACATTCTAACTCTTCAAATGTGTTCACAAGCATTATCCTTACGCACATAATGCAATATTTTTATATTGGCATGTCTGTGTCAAATGGACATTTTAGCTATATTTGATCAGAATTTATACGCTGGAAGAAACCGGCGTCCTTCATGGAGAACGTCTAAATATAGAAATGGCGGTTCAGGGGCTTCCTCTTGACCTTATATTTTAACTCGCAAACCAGTTAACGCTATTCATCTAGTTAAGGGACAATAAGTATTCAAGAGACATTGTCAAAAAAGTAAAAGAAATTATCAAAAGCTGTTAAAATATTGTGAGATAGGTAGCGATCCGGGTTATAGCAGCCCTTGCTTGTCCTAACATAAGACAAACGGAACTGGGTGGTCGGGATGACTGGGTTTATGCATGCTATATATCCCAACTGCTTAGATTGATGTTCATGATGTTAATCACTGGACTGTCTGGTCCAATATTCGATTATATACAGACAGCCGCCATGTAGCTGGGACATTGTTGAATGCGGCATTGAATAACAAGCAAACATAACATGAAATGAAAAATACCTCAAATTCGGTTTCGAAGGAGGCCTTTTTCTTCTTCTCGTTGACAGACTGTTGGAGTTTATCCAACGATACGTGAGGTTGTATCCAGTTGTAGTAGGCAGAGGAAGCCTCGTCGCTGACGTCTCAACGGAAAAGATGTCATCGTCATCTTCATCCATTGCAGGAGGTAGCCTTGGTGAGGATATGATCTCTGATGACGTATCTGAATAATAATAACTTTTAAATACTAGCTCATATCATATCTGCACTTCTATGGAACTCTAAAGCACCTTACTGACAGTACGTATTATTTTATCCCATTCCACTTTTTCACCGCGAAACTACTAAAGGAGAATGTTGATGGATGATGTATGTGTTGGAGACATAACAATATTGCTTCTGAACTTACAAAACGACCCAGAGTAAGAAATAGGCCTCCTTAATAGGTTTGAACCAACCAAAACCTACGACTGACAACTCACTATGTTAAAACATATGCAGAAGGAGTGAGACTTAGTTTAGAAAGCTAACATGGGATTGAGGGAGAAAGATAACATTCGGACTGCAATAGCTAGTGTTATGCCACTGCATCTACACAATAAGGTTGACTTTGTACAGCCACACGTGCTATATACTATTCTTGAATAACGCATGGTCAAACATGACTTTCTGATTAAGGAAGTACCTGTAGTTGCAGCTACAGGAAATGTTCTCAGAGAGGACTGCATTCTCACGTCATCCTTTTTCAGTCTTTTTCTTCAAAAGAATATATCAACACAGTTTACAATGCAGATATCCGTAGTGCATGTGTAATGAAAGAACACGTGATTCAAAGTGTATGTAACAAACGATATGTCCGCAAAAAGTTGGAGAAGGTTTAGACTTTACCTCTTCTTACAAATGACGATAACCACAACAACAATGACCACCAAAACAGCTGCAGCTATCCCACCGACTATACCCGCCATAAAACTGTCTTCTGTCAAAAAACAAACAGACATGTTATTCCAGTACCAAAGTCTTTGGCCCAAAATACAGTCATGTGTTAACTTTCACAATCCGCCTTATACACCTTAAGTAGGAACTGACCAATATCATAGACAACACTACATTTATCTAATGCCATCATATTTATAAAAGACTGATGTGATACTGATGTTACGTGTTTGAACATATATGTGCTTCTTATAGTTGCATATGGTTTACACCAAAAAAAACCAACACAGTTAACATTGATGGCGAAAAACATTGTGTATGGATTTTTAATATCATTGCGTATCTGCGTGTGCTAAAATGTGTTATTATAGCAAGAAAATATAGGAAATTGAGCAAAATAGTGTATGTTTTGTCAAAATGTAAGTTCGCATGGTTTTAATAGACTTGAAAGTGATTTAAATAGATAATTATAAAAGGATGTGTTGATATAAATACCTTCAAGTTGATTGAATTCCCTAAACAAAAACGTTAATCTGATGCCTTGATAGGCAAGATCTATTAAAAACTTTGTTTGCAAATAAATTAATATCAGCATGAAAACATGGCTTGTCAGGTGTATGCCTTTCACATGTCACAAATGCATGGGTTTCAGCAAAGTGGTAACCTGTGACACATGACCCACCTCAATCGTTCCACACAAATCCAACAGAAACACCTGTATACACGGGTTTGAAGTATAAAGTCATCTAGAAACGCTATACTAACTTTTATATCCATTTGCAGCTTTTGAAAGCGTTAAGTTCTGAACATAGTATGAATATGATGTGATTTGGAACAAAGGTCAAATTTAGGATCCGGGTAAGAACTGATCTTCAGCAACTCATGCCTGGCTTACGAGATTGGGTGGTCAGGCCCTCTGACTTGGCTCATTCATGTCACCATATCCAATTTGAGTAGATCGATGCCAATCACCGGATAGTTTGAGGAAGACAAAAATATTTTCAGAGCGCCGTCACACAACTGACATATTGCTGACTGTGTGTTCAAACAACAAACAAATGAAAGAAATGATATAATTACTGCAAGTGTCCCCCATCCACCATGTTTCACAACCATTAAGACATGCTCCAGTCTTTTTGTCACACGCATCGCCGTCCTGACATTTCCCGCAGCGGAAGTCACAGTTGGTACCGTGTTTACCGTCGATGCATGCTTATTGGAACACAAAGAAACATGAAATCTGTAATAATCAGTCAGGAAACATAAGTTAAGTTAATTTGAATGCAACGTTGTTTACACTGCATCCTCGTACATGCATCTCAAACCCTTGGGGATGTGTATATTACATCTCATGCGACTGTTGAGACAAACATATTCGAGAAGCTTGCCTCAACCAGTATGTAAAAACACAGACCTGACATTAAATCTGGGATTTCAGGACATGTCATAAAAAATCCTGGGCCTAGATTTTCGAAGCTCTCTTAGCGCTATGATAGTCGTAAGTGCCATACATAAGCATTAATTTACGACTATCTTAGAGCTAAGAAAATCTAGGCCCTGTTTACTACCTTCGTTGGCAATGAACCAAGATTCTCTATAGCAAAATCAGTGCTGAAGACATTCCAAAAACTCCTGATTCTGACTAGGTAGTGTCCGAACAGGGGTGTACAGAATATACCACAATATAACGGTCGCCGGCTTACTCTGTAGGCATGTGCCATTCATCCATCCTGCTGCACATCCTCCAGGACAGGTTCCGTCCTTCTTATCACATGTGTCGTCGTTTAAGCAGTTTCCACACTGGGAGGTGCAGTTGTTACCATAGGAACCATCTGGACATGCTGAATGAAGAGAAATACCTTTAAACCACAATTCTGTAGATTACGTTTGTTTGGTTATTACTGTCTTGATAGAATTGTCAGCTAAGATAAGCTAAACCCAATCGAAATGAGTCAGTTTTCCAAAGAACATCAACAAGCTCTGTATTTTGAATCTTATATCATTCCTAACTTTTAACTGTCATTTATTTGATTTTAAAGATGCGACATGAAGACTGCACAGTTATGGACTATAGTATATGTTTCAAAGATGGAAAACATTTATAATAGTAATAAGAAAGTTCATTTCTTTCAAATTACGAACGGTTTTTCTAACTAGTTAAATGTAATTAACTTTGGGGGTTAGAATTGATCTTCAGTAACCCATGCTTGTCGTAAGATGTGACTAACGGGATCAAGTGGCTTGGCTGACACATGCCATCGTATCCCAGTGGCGAAGATCGATGCTCATGTTGTTGATCACTGAATTGTCTGGTCCAGACTCGATTATTTACAAACCGCTGCCATATAGCTTGAGAATTCTGGAGTGCGGCGTAAAATTAAACTCACTTATAAACATTTGCCTGCAGTCTCCTTGTAAGCAATAACCCTTGTCGTTCATGACTGGTGCTGACGTTTTAAATTTCGTATATTCTTGTGTAGCCATTAGTATCACTCCATAGGACTCATCAGGAATACGAGGATATGATCAGTGTTTATCTGGCAATCATTTCAAGTCAAGTTTTACATTTTGCTCTGCCTACTTCCAGTACTAACACAGTCACATAAACGGTAAATGAAAGTATAATAGTCTGCCAAAGAGATCCAACATGGTCGACAAGGTTCCTAACTTGGGTTGTACTGTATACCATAAACCTCAAACGGAGCCAGCAATATGTTTTGTGGTCACCTTTATCTTACTGTGGTCGAGCGTATGTGTACTAACCTTCCATACACGAGTCGTCACTGAACCATCCTGCTGCACATCCTCCAGGACATGCTCCCGTGGTCGTGTTACAGATGACACCACTGAGGCAGTTTCCACACTTGGAGGCACAGTTATCACCAAACTTACCATCTTGACATGCTGCACATAAAGACTACATACAGGACAAATACATACTTTGAGACGTTACCACTAATTGCTTGCATTGAACAGGATAAGTGTAACACTTGTAGTATATATATATATATATATATATATATATATATATATATATTTACTGTGAAAATACTGGCATTTTAACGGATAAAACATAGATTTCATACGCCATTTGATTGGTTACAATGCCAC